TTTTATCATCGCTGATATGTTTTGAGAGGTTGCACAAGCACAACTGCAGTGTTTAACGTGCTCCTGTTTTGCACCGACAATGCTTGTTAGTGGCAGAAAAACAAAGATGTCTGAGGATAACCAGAGTGCTTGAAAACCCAAGTAGATAAGATCCAGTTCTACAGATTGTTTTTGTGGTCTTATTTCTAATAATTTTACTCTTATAAAGAACTTTGTGACCTTGCTCTGTGAAAAATGATATATTAAATAAAATCACGGTAAAAAGAGTATATATTATTTTTATCTTTAGAATGGCAGTGTATTGATAAACATGACAAATAGGAAAAAGAAAAGAAAGATGAGTATATTCTGAGTAGATACACTTATATACAGAGAGCAATCATATTGTCAGCCAATGTCATGTTTCAGCTATGAGAGGAGAAACCACTTCAGTGGCTCAGTATCACCAACTATGACATAAAACAACACTCACTTATATAAAATAAACTTAAAGGGAAGGTGACAGACAGATGCGCAGTCATACCAGATTTGAAACAGCTTTATGAATTCATCATTACATACATTTATTACAGGACGACACATTTTTTCAACTTAGGCATCACCTGTTACCTAGTCGACTCACGGCTGTGCAGGTGAGACAAAGGATGGTTATGAGAGTTAACCAGACAGCAGACATGGTGACGGTGACAATTATACAAGTTTTACATGAAATAGAAATCAGGAAGTCTGGTTTTGCTTAGGCAGCAGGAGTCTAGACCAAAAGGCTACAAACAACAACATGTGACCCTTAGGTGTGTGAAATCTAAATTTTAAGATCCAGACAGACAGTTTATATACAGTACATTGCAACGTGAGATAGGCAGCTCTAATCTGAACTACTGACTGCAATAATAATATAAACGCATAGCATTAAATGTAAGTCTCAAAAACAGTTTTTCTCAGAGGTCACAGAACTTGCTCTGAAAGTGAATTCATCACTACTGTTCTTCATTAGACCTCTCTAAAGCATCAGACACATGGAAAGACATTAGCGTTGGTTGATATGTTTTTCAGAGCTACAGGGATAGGATGTCAGTGCATATTTCACGCCGAAAGTAGGTCAGAAGTTTAGTTTTAGCATAGGGTGCAAGGCCACTGTTTTACAGCGTTTGCACTGCCCTCTAGTGGTGGAGAGATGGAGTTTCAGGTTGGTTGCTTGCAGGGTGGCAGCGTCTCAGTGCACCGAGTCTTGGCCTAGTAAAACAACAGATTTTGTTGTCAACATGATGGGTGTAGAGCTGTTATACAATAAGTAACAGGATTGTGATTAAACCAGGGGTTCTTGACCTTTCTGGCAGTCCAACCCCTTTTTGAGGTTGAAAATATTTCCCCACCCCCAGGTTAAGAACCACTGGATTAAACATCTGTTTTTGCAGCTTCTCTTTACTGAGGCTTCAGTGAGTCGCATACAAACAATCATACAAATAAACACATACAGGCACCTACAAGCAAACACACACTAAAACACATGGGTACCTTGAGGAGGATCCATATGAGAAGGAAGATCATGATGCCAAGCAGCACAGCTGTAGAGATCACAACAGCCCCCAGAACCAGATTCATATTTGACGGCTCACACTGCTGTGATGCTGTCACCACCACCAGCAGCACGGATCCATTGCCTTCTGTGGTTACGAGTGCAGCAGTCCCCTGGTCAAACCTTTTGTATTTGCACCAGTATGGTCCCGTGTCGTCAGAGGTCAAGTTTTTGATGAGAATGTCCATGTTGGGGAATACTCCATTTAACTGAAGTCTACCCTGGAATTTTGTGGCAGTGATATTTTTGCCTGAGTCACTGAGCCCTTATGTTTTTCAGAGCTACAGGGATAGGATGTCAGTGCATATTTCACGCCGAAAGTATGTCAAAAGTTTAGTTTTAGCAGAGGGTGCAAGACCACTGTTTTACAGTGTTTGCATTGCCCTCTAGTGGCAGAAGAACAAACATTTCTAGGTGTTCATGATTTAGATGTGTTTATAGTCCTATGCTAAAAAGAACAGGTTACAAGGGTAACATTTGACTTTAAGGCCCCATCCCCATTTAGCATTTATAAGCACTGAATAAACTCTGATGCTCTGATGTATGAAGAACAATTTAAATGGTTGATTTAAAAACAACAACAATATACATTTTCTTTCTAAAGACTAAAAAAGATGGGATTGAATGACTAAACTGAAATTTTACGAGAAAAGAACACAAGAACTGAACTTCCCTCTGAATATGTCCTCGGAAACCCATTTCCTCAATACTCCTTGTGGTTGTAACAATAGAGCACACAGAAAACCATAAAATCACTTTGACACTAGAAGTCAGTCATCCTCTTTTTGCATCAATATGCGCTGAAACAAAATATCACATCATGTATTTACGTAAAATCACATGTACCTATTGCTGACAAGGATTTACTAGACACATGATGATGACCATTGTAGTTTGAAGCTGAAATGACCTCAACAAACTCCATTAAGTTGTCACTGTCCTGGGAGAATTGCCCACTCAACATCAATAACATCAATAAAGGCTTTCACAGTCTTTTAAAAAAAATACACCTACCCCCTGCTCTCTCTTCCTCCCTCTGGGACAGAATAAAAAAAGGTCCCTGTCCATCCCACCCCTCCTCCAGTCTCATCCAGTTAAGAAGGTACAATCTGAGCCAGAACAGGCGCTGCAAGGAGGGCTTTTTGTGCTCCCTTTGTCATTACGGAAACTGTCCATTTGCCAACCAGTGCTTCCTGTTTAGGGCTTCTGGTGGGCGGGAGGCGTTGTATATTTGAGGCTGTGGGATAATCAGGAGGCTCTGTCTCTGGTCACAGAGAGGACAGGAAGACAAGAACAGAACATAGGGAGATCATTTATTTAAACAATTTATTGTTTCTTCAGGTACTCTGGTGGTAGATTCATAATTTTGGGGGGAACAAGTCAGTGTTTTTAACCCGAATGTCTTCTGCATGAGATACTAAGCAACATATTAACAAATCTCCTCCTGCAGCTCTCTCCTTGAGTAGTTGCTCAGTCAGAGCAGTATGACTGATTGGGGTTATTGATTGACTGATTGCTTTTGCCATGTCACTCACAGATGACTCACCTCAACACATCGTCTTCCTCTAGAGATCTCCCTGAACACACACACGCGCGGCCTCAGCTGGAGTGCACATGGCTTAATGGCTCTGTCAATACACTGAAGTTGCAAATGAGCGAGGATGCTTACACATTCATCACAGACATCAGTTAAATGACTTGGCATATGGCTGTGGGGGAGGAAAATGATAATCTCCCGTCTTTCTAGAAAGATTAGAAGGATGATCAAGGGGGGATAGACAAGGGAGTCTGTTTCTAATGTGGTTTTACTGATTAGCTGTTGGCCAGGCCAAAAGAGCAAACTGCAGTGTGTGAAAAATAAAATTGCAACTGTGCAGCAAACATTTTGATCTTAAAATGAACACTGGGTATGACTAGTCACTCCTTTCATGTGTGCACATTTCCATATGTACATCGGATTAAAAAGACTGAGGAAAGCACCAGAGATCCAGTCTGACTCTGCGTCTTAAGTTATAATAGAAGGCACAGGACTTTCCCGGTGGGTACAGCACTTAGTGAAAACAAGCTTTCATTGACTGCACTCCAGCACCCTGGCATTTCTCCAGGGCAGGAAGTTCTTTTTCTGATCTTGAGTGACCTCTGCATGCCTTTCACGGCAGATGAGGGCTTAAACGCACCGCCGTGTCACAGCACTCTCCACAGGCCGCTCAGGGTTTGGCTCTTGAGTAGTAGCTCTGGAGGCAGAGAACTATTTTGATAGAAACCTTTCCTCTGTTCTGACTTTTGTCTGACACTGGTTTGCAGACATGCAGCATGCACAATATAGTGGAGACACTGTTTGGTTAAGCCCAAGGTGAGCACAGCATGAAGACTTGCACAAAAGTACTAAACCCAGATGCTCTGGGTCAGCACAGCCTGTCAAATTACCAATTTCTGTCATTCCCCATTATTTCTCAATAGTTTGTCATCGTTGCTAAAAGATGATCTCCCATCTAGACCCCTGCAGCTTCACAGTAAGAAGCTTACAAAGTCATCAGGTCAACAATACACTGCCATTTATATCATCATGGAGTAAAGAAAAGATGACTTCAAATCCAAGTGATTGCAGGGTCATGTTAAATCAGAAGTGATCTTTCCTGACGGTGTTTAGGTGAGTAGGCAAGAGAATCCAGCTGATCTGTATCTTTATTCTTGGTTGAATACAGTTAACTTGTTTAAGGACTGAACTGAGGTCTTGATAATATAGTTCATTCTTGGGGCTGGATTTCAGCATCCATTTCTATGATTATTAAAACATCCAAATTACCATTAAACAGCCAGTTCATTACCTGTGTCATGGTGCTTAAGGCAAAAAAGCTCAGACTTAAGACAAGCATTTCCATATAAAGCCATCATTGAGGGGTGCTGTCAATGGTAGTGTTTCGTAAGTAACATTACATCTTGCACGAATCACTTTACCTTTTGAATCCGACTCCTAAGACTCAACATAATGTTATGCCTATCTTAGATCAAACACTGTGAAGACTGCCAAATATCCAGCGTATGATGTCATAAAAAGATAGTGCAGTTTCTCTTTTGGCAGAGTTGGAGGCGGCTTTTGCGATTACTTTGGCTGGGCAGATTTCCAGTCAGAGAGCCTGTGTCTGCTCTCAACGGCCGGAGCCTTCAGGCTCCACCTCACTGTACATAAATAATGTTCTGCTCCATGTTGAACTACTTATGCCCATGAAAACTGAAAGGAGAATCAATAGCACCAGTGATTTTATGTCTTTAGTGTCATACTTTCTGCACGGCTATCTACATTATTTTATGTTTGTCACTTCTGAACTTAAATATTCACCATGGCATGATCAAATATTCCTACAAGATTATTTATTACACGACTGTTACTACATAAAATGAAAAGAAAACAAATCAGGCACCGCAAATTAATATCAATCTTTATTGTATTTAGAAATCCACGCATCAAATCTTTTTTCTTATTTTTTCCTTTTCCATTTACAACAGGGAAGAATGAGGGACAAGCTAAACGTCATGCCTTTCCCAGCAGGCGCGATGCACTACAGGATGGGCTGAAATGGAATGGGTGTGGGGCGGGGAGATACATAAAGTGCTTTTGTCAACAGTTTTCTTCTTTTAATACAAAAAAGGATCAAAACAAAAGGTTAGAGGGTGGAGGGAGAGGACGCAGGGGTCCATGGACGTGATGACATGAATGCATGTGAAGTAAGTGAAGGAGGGGAGAAGGTTGATGTGGAGGAAGAGAGTGGTAAGGGGTATTTATCTTTAAAAAATAAAAATAAAAAGTGTTCAAATGAAAAAACAAAAAAACAAAACAAGTGGTCTCAACCCAGGATGAGGCTGGACTTGCCACCAGGTGGGTTTCTTCGGCTGCCAGTGGCAGCGTTGGCACCTCCCGACGGGGCCGAGGGCTGTGGCTCCTTCTGCTGCTCCTCTTGCTCCCCCTCCACGTCGTCAGGACACTCTACAGGCGCAACAAAAAGACAACACTTTAATGCAAAGCATGTGAGTGAGAGTGGGCGAAATGTAATGAATGTTATCACAGTCTGTTTCTGGTTGGCAGTATGTGATTAGGGCAAAACAGTTTACAAAATGTTGAATATATTTTGACAATGTCACAGTAAAACACCATGTTATCCTGTTAAACTGTGCTTGGGAGTGAAAAAGTATACACTAACTATAGTAGATGGTAATACAACAGTACTGCCCTGCAAAGGCAGAGAGCATTAACTACTGAAAGTTGAAGAAAGGGCTTAAAGTTTTCAGCTAAACTGGTTAACAGATCAGCAAGCAACATGTTCTTTCAGCTTTCCACCTAAAATGTGTTCATGATAATCTTGAAATCAACACATTCTTTTATTTACAATTTAATACATTTGAAAAAGTGATTAAAAAGTAGCTTCATCACACAAAACTGGTGAAGTCCACTTGAGTCAAAGGCTGAGAAGGTAGTTGATGCTACTCTGCTAATCTAGGCTAGTTAGCTTTTAGCAGGAGTGGCTAAGCTGTTTTTATTCTCCATGGCTGGATTAAGTGGCTGGCTTATTTGTGGGATTCCAGACTAGATTACCAAAATGTGAGTTCATTAAAATTGATGGAATCAGAATTACAGGAAACAGCTATGGGTAAATAGAAACTAAATTTAGCTTTAGCCAAGGCTAGCTGCGGCCATGTCACCGGCTAGATTTAACTGCAAATTTACCATGCAGTGAGTCAGACTCTTAACTACATTTTGACTGAATATGTAGTCACTGCATTTTGGTTTTGAAGGCTAAAGTACTTAAGTGAGGTTAGCCAGTTATGTAAAATAAATTGCAGTGCTGAAGCACAGCGCTCTCGTTGTCCATTAGTGCCTTGATTACTGTAGAAAGTGCAAATTCAAGGGGACTTTTCCGATTCAAATAAGGGCAACACCTTACTTTTTCAAGGACTTCAAAATCTTTTTTTAGGCTGAATGCACACTCAAATATTCTCAGCTTGACATCAGAGAGGCTGCTGTGACAACTGCATTATTTATAGGTTTATAAGACTGGTGCCACAGATATTAGGACTGCACAGGGCAGCCTGGTGGATCCAGAATCTAGCGTATGTAAACTCTCCAGACCAGATTTACTAAGGCTTTTGCTCCCGTTTTTCCAAGCGCAAATGTGGCACAAACTACCCCAAACACACGTGCTGTATTTAACAGACGCACCAGCCTGGATTTGCAGTTCATGTGTCATTAGTGAGTGTTAGCAAGCTGCGCCTCTCTCCTCATTGCATATGCATTAAAGGGAGGGTCTTGCAAATAACAAGAGGAGGCATGTTAACGGGATGATTAAGTATTCAGCTGGATTTACTGAGGTCACGCTATTTGCAACCGTCAGTTTTGTAGGGAAAATTCTCTGCCTCTGAAAAAAAAGGCGTACACACAGTGCAGATGGGATTTACAGGAGCCACAAGGACTGTTGTAGTAGCAGAAATAAACGTTTATTAAATCTAGACTAAAATATAACTAAAACCAGGTTATTAGAAATGTTAATGAAGCAATTAGGCTTTAATATCAAACAAACAGTGGACTGGAAATTGGAGTTTGCTTTCATCAAACTTGAATTTAATCTTAGCCATCAATGAACTGAACTAAACTTTTATTTGTCTTGTTAAAACATCTGAGTGCACACTTGGCTGCATCTACCTCAGTAGTGTGTACCAATAATTTTTGGACGAACTTATGAACGTTAATACACATATATATAATACACTTCAAAGTGCGGCCACATTCCAATCACATTCAAAAGCACGGCAAATGAGTGAGCTTTGATTTCTAAATGCCCACAGAGATGTGCGGTCAAACCCTCCATTATCCGAGGAGCCAGCCTTTCTCTTACAAACGTGCACCTGGAGGTTAATAAAAAGCTTTTCATACTAAGTGAAGCCTGCCATCAAAGAACAGCTGCTTGACTACAGACCATCAGGCCATCATGACAGAGGAAAAACACATCAAAGAGATCATGTGATGTTGACTTAGAAAGAACATCTGTACTGTATCTTAAGAAAACTTATGGTATGGTCACCAGAATCTGATTCTTTAAAGGCAGTGAGAGTGGATTTACCTGATTTGTTATAGTGTACCATGGAGCTATTCACTGAATAATCTAAGTCATGCTCTACTGTTTAGACATAGTGGGAGTGTGAAAGAAACTTATAAAGCCTCATTGTAAACGGTTCAAGAGTACAGGACACTTACCATCATTTGCTTGTTCTTGGCCATTTTCACCCTACAATGAAAACACAGGACAGGCATATCAGACATCCCCACTGAACCAAAGTGGCGTTTCACCTGCATGTAAAGACTTCTTCCTGTATCTGAATCCTATTACTTCTACTCTGTGACAACACAGTGTCCTGAGCCAGCTCCTCTGCCAAATGTTCTTGGTGTGGGTACAAGCGGCTGTGGCTCAAGAGGTAGAGTGGGTTGCCTGCTAAGAGGTCCGATCCCCCGGCTCCTTTCAGTCTGCATGTCAGAATGTATCCTTCCAGTATCCAGGCAAGATACTGAACCCCAACGTGCTCCCGATGGCTGTTCCATCGCTATCCGACGCTATACAAGTACAGACCATTTACAAATGTTATTTATGCCACAAAGCCAAAGCCTTATACCTCAATTAAACTGCTAAATTAGAAAAAAAAAAATCTACCCATGTCAGGCAGTGAGAACTGGCACATTCCCAGAATAAAAATTAAACCTCCACAGGGATTACAAATGTCAGTGGATAATATCTATCAAACAACATCCTGGGTCCGTTTCAAATAGATGGATAAAGCCATCCATCCACCAGTGAATTTTCCACTGAACTCTTTAGATTTATACTTAATCTATGAATGTGTGCTTTTCAGCCCCAAACCAGGCTTTGGCTCTGTTTTGGAAACAGCGCGTCAGACTCAATGAGAGGTACCTCTTGTCTCTGGTTCCAGACCAAGGCTGCCCCAGAGTTGTGGATGGTGGTCAGTTCCGGCTGAGGGTTCTTGGGGAAGAGAAGAGGCTGCTGGCACCGCCTAAGCGGGGCAGAGGGCTCCCCACACAGGGTTCCTGTAGGTGCTCCGGCTGGGAAGGTAAGAAAAGAAAAGAAGATTAAAGACTGAGCAGGGTGTAGTGCACTAGCTGTCACGCCAATTTTATTATCTTTGTTGACCAATCGCTTATATTGAAGCAAGACAGGAAACACAAGAGACAAATGACAAAACACAACTCAATCTTCAAAGCAGCAGTCTTACCACTCAGACACTAATCCAATTAGCCATAAAGCCACCCGAGACCCCAATGTTTTTGACCCATAAGGCAAACACGCTCGCCACAAGATTCATCTTCTCAGATTTGACAAAACATCAGCTTTATGAGGGAATTTGACTGAAAAAAAACACGAGGCAAAAAACACTGAGAACCAACAGGAAACATCACCAAATCCGCTTGGGCGTCTGCGACGGACCCAGAAATGTGGTGGAACCCATCCAGGCAGACAACCAGAATGCCAGAACTCACATAACCCTGTAGCGTCTGCATTCTCCTTTAGCAGAAAGAGCATTAAAACCCAGTGTTTGGCCCGCTGTGGGGAAGCAGACTGTACTAACCAAAGCCACATAAGGTAACAGCCCAGAGAGCCAGGGAGGGGACAGACCGTCTTTGTCATGAGGGGAACAACGCTGCTGAAGAAGTGGAGGAGTGGCCATTGTTGTTAAATGGAGTGAAGTGAATCAGCGCTGTTGCCTCGATCACTCAAGAAGAGCTCCTTCATTATCTGGCTCCACATTTCTGAGTCTGGCCAATTCTCTTCTGGACAGTGAGCAACAAATCACAAATGGAAGGGAATTAAACTATATTCATGGGCCAGACAGTGATGCATTATGTTATCATCACTACAACACATAGCCTTCTACTTAACCTTATAGATCTCTTGGGTCCATGATATAGATGTATGATAAGGCTGAGCTCACTGGTCAACAAGCACGGACACAGGAACAGCAGTAATGCTGCTGCTGGTAGTCTTGGCTTGCTCTCTGATTACAGAGTGCTCATCATGTGGCCAGAAGCTGAGGGCACAAACCAACAGCTCTGGTATCTGAAAACCCTAAAATCCTAACCAAATATAACAATTACATTTGCATAGTTTTTCTATTCAATTTTTAGTTCTTCAAATTTACTAAAAACGTTTTCCCCTTTACTCCTGCTAAGGCTGGGCAATAAATACAATAATGATAATTATGTTCATATAAACATATGTTCAATAAAGGTTAGCATTTAATTTTCCTATTAAGATATTTATATTGTTGAAGAAAAGGGACTGAAAAAAGATTTTACTTAATTGTACTAATTTGTGGAAAAAACATTTTATCAATTGTTTTGAATATTCTACCTCAGATTTGTGAAGTGATCCACTTGTTTGGCATTAAGTGTTTGTCATGTGCTGACCATAAAGAAAAGTTTAAAACCACAATTAACCATCTGGTTTCTTCAGCTTTCCACTCAGGGGCAAATTTCTGCCTTTAAACTTGAAAGAAATAATGATTTGACATTTATCGTGATAATTATCGACATTGAATGATATGAAATTTTTTCATAAAATGACTTTTGTCCTTTTCGCCCAGCCATAACTCCTAGTGGTAACCGTGAAGGTACTTTTAGGTTTATTTACTCGGGTTTGGAGATATCAGTTTCTAAGGTTGCTGCAAACTATTAAATGGAATTAAATGTCAATAAATAAAGCTACTTTTCTACTACTCTTCTACTCGACACAAACATGTATTTCCAGAACTAATGTTCTCATCACTCTGGATACTCCACAGACCTTGTGAACAGTTCTCATTGGAAATCTTTTTTTTTTGTTAAGAAGAAGAAAAAGAAATAGTCCCCCTGCAGATTATCTAGGGTAAACAGGACATTGTCTGAGGTCAAGTAAGGAAATAGATATTTGATATACAATATAACCTCTGTTTATAGTCTATGGAGACCATAGAGTGATCAAAGTGTGACTTAATTGCAACATCTTCCAAGCTCTGTGAGTGTACTCATTGTTGCAAGAGAATGTCTCACTAAAAAAAAGGCTAGCAGTATCCGTTAAAGTGGGACAAATCTGAGAAGGCTCCCCCGAACTCAAACCAAGTGATATGAAAGATGCTTTTAAAAAAATATCTACACAGGACTGCATGCCAAAGCAAACACACCTGTTCATCTACACTAGGAGTTCATACTCAGGCCAGACAGATCGCACAATGCTTATAAAACCTGTTATAGTAATAAACCTTGCTCATTCAGTCAAAAACAAATATCCTCATCCTCAACTATGAGAAGGCTCCCCCGAACTTGACCCAAGTGAAACAATGCAAGGCGGAAAAAGGCTTCACTGTCAGCAGCTGCCGGCTGTAAAACGTCAGACGCTGAAGTAATGAGTTTAGGATAAATTCTTCATTGTCCACACAATCAGAAAATTTGATACACCGTGTAAACTGTTTTCTACAAATTGGCCAGTGTGAAAACATGTGATCCCTGCCTTTAGTTTAACTTCAACACCCTGAGCTGAAGTGCAATCTTACGGCTGTAGGGCTTGAATTTCCCTCTTTACGCACTTTATCAAAACTTTGACCTTCAACCAAACAAAAAAAATGCAGCTCAATTACAAGCAATAAAAGATAAAGCATACTGAAGGGTGAATTATGATTGGCTAAAGCTTTACCTAGATCACAAACATACTGGCAGGCGCAATAATGTCAGACAACATTCATTCTTCATTCAAGTCTCTGTGTCTGTATGCTTTCAGGGACCTTGACAACTTAAAGCCATTTACAGGTCTCCAATCCCCTGCTGCAGCCTTCCTTGTGTACTCAAAAATAAAACATCCTTCTTGTCTATACAAGGCCACATATTTCACCAATTGACACATTTTTAACTGACCTACCCCCCCTCCCCCCTCCCTTCGAGGGCTGATCCTCATCCTCATTTAACAAAGCCTAGCTTCAAATTACCCTTATGCAAGCACACCAGGGCTTTTGGCTATTGCACTTGTGGGATGTTCTTTCTGACAACCAAAATGGAAAAATACTAAATAACACTACAGTTTGTATTTTTCCCTTGCTCTTGTTAGAAGAATTAATTCCATGGCGCTTTTGGTTACTTAAGGCTTCTGCTAGTTCTGTCTAGTTTTGCAAGACTGAACTTGGCTAGTACATAAGTGCTTACACGCCCTTCCTGGTGCAAAACTACAACCATTGTTAATGTTAAAGTGTAAATCACAATCTTGTTTTCATTCCTTTGGCTCCGATATTGACACAAGAAAGGAGAATGAATGAATGAACGAACTAAGATAGCTTCGAGTGATTCCAAATTGACTTACTGGGTGGATTGTTCCTCCGATGAGCATGGGGGTCCTCAGGTTCTGCAAAGATGCTGGAGGCCATCTTGCTCTTGCGCTGGGGGGTCGAATCGTCGTCTGTGCCGAGGGAGAAGCTCGAGTCCCCGCCTGGCGGTCGTAGTACCCTGAAGAGGACAAATGATGGATTATAATGTAATTTGACTGACATTGTGCTATCGTGCTCCCATCAGCCCAGTCTTCAGGCCAAACTAAGCCACATGGCCTTCGAGGCACATGCCACTGATCAGCTGCAGAGTGCAAAAAAAAATAAAATAAAAAAGGACAACGAAATCAACAGTCAAATAAAACATGAGAATGCCTCAAGCTACTTACAGCCTTCTCCCTACTCCACCCTAACTCTTTTATACACATGCCACACACACAAAAACGCACGGGCTACCAGCAAGGTCTCTGGCCTCCAAGTCCCGGCTGTCAGCCTGTTAGACAGACAGTCACAATCTCTGCCCGGCAGCTGACACCAGTCGCATATAATCACAGAGTTAGCTGGCTAGCTGCTGCCTCTACTCAGCACAGATTCCATTCGAGTGACACAAGAGGGGCTGATGCCTGGTTGCATTGTTATCCCAGTATTAACTAATTTGATGCCCCATGTGGGTCAATATTAAACAAAAGGAGGTGAAAAGTCTGAGGTCCCCAGCTAATATAGGTCACGCAACAAATAGACTGGGGTAAAACAATATAGAAAGCCTTATGCAGACCCATGTATGGTAAACAAAGCCCACTTTCGACCGACATTCCTCCCCCTCCCCAAGCTGAACAAAAAGGAATACGATAATGAGTAGGGAAACACTTTTTCCTTGCTGTGCTGAAGGACAGTTGGGGTGGATGACAAATACTGACGTGTTTGCAGAGCCCCTGCTGGACCCCTCCCTCTTTTTTTCCAGCAAACTCTCCTCTCCTCAGGATCCCTGCAGCCACCAGCTGACACACTGAGCAGCTGTCCAAGGGCCAGGCGGGCAGATGGAGTCCAAAAAACAACTCGAAGGACAACTACAAAGAAAGCAACCAGGGGGAGAAAATCCACACAGCGTGGACTGCACTGGCATGAATTTTCTCAATCAATTCTTGTAAGACGCACACTAATGTCCAATCACACTTGGTTGGCTGTGATAGTAATGCCTAAACCAGACTTCACTTCCCAGCCAGATTGGATGAGCTCATGCTTTCCACATGGACTGCGAAGGGGGAAAAGCCTCTAGCTGCCTGGCAGCAGACCCCACCCTAGAATGAAACAGCAAATAATATCAATGAAGTGGCATTAATGTTTTGTAGCTTCAGGCAGGCGAAGCTAGGGCAGGGAGCTAGGGCAGATACAGCTGAGCACCAAAGATGGCATGTCTGATAAGGCAGGGTGGGAGGCTTTTGATGGCCTACTAAGCTTTCAGCCTAATTCTGCGAGACTTGCTGCTGTAGGGGAGGCCAGCAGCAGAAATGACTAGCATCTCGTAAAAGGGGCATTAAGGAGCAAAAGCTAAGAGCTAAGGAAAGATTTACAGGCTTAGCTAGCTCAAAGCCCCCACCCAAGCCCCCGCATCATCATCAGAAAACAGCATGCGACTTCAAAATGCTTAATGACTGACCGAGATGTGACTCGTGCTCACTCAGAAAAGGCTACTAGTACCAGATCCCCCTCAAAATGTGGTGTAACGTTATATGCTCTAAAACCATGCTCTATTATGGAGGCAGCTATAATTTAAAGTCATTTTCTTCGCACTGTTTTCACTGCAAAGGGGCAGGAATGCATCCAGACGAGACGCATCCCTTACTGGAAAGCTATGACTGCGTGCTTGGAGGATGAGTGGCCCTCTTAAGGTGTTTTTCCATGTATATAAAAGATTTAACAGCCCTTGCGCGTCAGACGTCGACAATAGCGTAACGTTAGACATATTAAATGAAACTACAAATGGACGTTATGTCTGACTTTCCCTTAACTTCCAACCAACAATGAGCCCCGTCAGTGATAATGACATGTGCAGACCAAAGTCTCGTCTAGGAGTCTTCCTGCAATCAATCACATATCTGGACTCTTGCTATAGCTGTAAAATCCACAGTTTAACAGAATAAGGTTTAAGTTAACAGTATTCTAAACTCTAAAGAGCAGCAGAAAAAGTTATTTTGTAGTCGACCACAGCCAGACGAGTACTAACTTTGCTTTGACCACCCCAGAAAATAGATGGAAAAACGTCCTTTCTGGTCTCTCTCTTTTCTTTCTTAAACTCTACATGCTTTACATTAATTAACATTACTCTAGCTACATAGCCCAGTAAGGCTAACTAACTTAGTGCAGCTAAAGGCTAACGTCAACCGTTAGATGGTGCATCAGTAACCCAATGAGATTAACTTAATTAGCAAGACTGTGTGACAGTTTAGCTAAATCCAGACGAATCCACCAGCGGGCTAATGCGAGGTAAAAGGCTGCATTTAAGCAAACGCAGGGGGAAAAAAGAGGCGTCTGCTAGCTGAGAGGCTTGCCTGCATCCCACTTCTTTTGTTCCTCCGTGAAAAAGGTTTTCAGCTTCTTTTACCTGGAACTGCTTTTCGCGCCGGGCTCCATTCCTTTAAAGGTAGTTGTCGTCGTCATCTTTATGGAGTATTTCGATGCCTTGGCAGATAAGAAGCAGTCAATGAGAAACTAATAATGAAAAAAAAAGTCCTCCGCCTTCCCCGCAGAGATGCGACAGGATGTAGACTCCACCCGACACTGAAAAACATAACCAACACCAGATCCGCTGGTTCTGCGGTGCCAGCCCACTAGACCCAGCCCACCAGCGGTAGGCCCGCTCTGATTGGACAGAACATCACAGAACGCCTCTCTCATTGGACAGAACCTCGCCTCTCTTGTTGGTGGCAGGTCTGGGCTTCATGTCAGTGATCAGTCCACATCCCAGAGGGCTTATTTCTGCCATCTAATCGATTGGCATTGATTATGACAATCTGCAAACTGCGATGTAAGGGCAACCAGCACACAGAGCAGCTTATTACCTAAGGCTGTGAAACTCCTTAATTCATCCTCAGCACTCCACCATGTAAAATTGTCTTATTTCTATATATCATTTTTGTATATAACGTTTGCTCTTGAGTTGCGTAAGAGAACTACAAACGTCATCTCTTTATACAACCCTGTGTTGTAAAATTATAAATACTGACTCTAACATCTACCTGTATACTATACTATTTATTCGTAACTCTGTTGCTGTTCAAATATTATTCATGTTGTTCATATTTATCATTATATATTGTTTATACTGTATATATCATGTCAACCTACCTCATATAGGCTACATAACACATGCACTTAGTATTTATTCAAGCATCCTCCATTACACTATTGTCTTGCGGTCTACAAATGTTTTTGTTTATCCTATTTTTTTGTTGAGCTTTTTGTGTTCATGGTTGTTCCGTGTATGTACAGTCAAATCCCTTGCATGCACACACAAACCTGGCTATTAAAGCAGATTCTGAAACAAATCTACCTCTTAAATAACACTGTGGGCAAACTTTGACGTTTAGCTAGTGAAGAACTTGTGATCTTTTATTATTTATTAATTTACTATCTGGGTTTGTGCTCACCTCGTAGTTCTAACAAATGTATTTTGTATTGGTTGCATTTCTGCCCTGATGCGGGTCAAACAATCACACTGGAAAGCCAGACAAAATTAGTGGAAGTTTGGAAAAAGACAATAGCTTTATTTTAACAGGCATCTTAATAGACAAAACAGATGTTTATTTAACCGAAACATCTTTTCAGGCTTCCCAAAAGTTGAAGCGTGGCCTAGTCAGACGATTAATCATAATTTTTTTCTACACATCCACTACTATATAAAATGTATAAAATCAAATAAATTTTCTGAAGATAACTGAAACCAAATGGCAATCCGGCCCCACTCCCAAACTGGGTGTACTGGTTGTACTAAGTGATAGCCAGTCCCAAAATAGTACATTTTATGAATAGACACTGACCCAAGCCTAGACCAACGACATTTGATTGGTAAAGTGGGTTAATTCTCACTCTTGCCAGTCCCATCTGTCTGCAACCTTAGAAGAAGCCCTTCAAATTGGGAAGGGAAGTCCTTAACATTTACCACAATACAGCATCAACAAACAAAACCTGAATTCATGGTGATCTGGATGTGGTTTATGTACAAAAACAGAAAAGTAACAAGGGCAAGAATGAAAATATATACTATACAGCAGTTATGTGTAGCAGAAAAATGACTTCTTCTGCATGGAATTCTGTTGAGATATTAGGACAAGTTGCAAAGAAGCAGCCGCTGTGTATTACAGGCCCGGGAAGGCTGGTTGTGTTAAGGAGGAAAATGGTGATGCACGTGGCTGTGATTAAATCAGGCCTCCTGTCTGCTGTTGAAACACGTCAATTGTGTCTTCATCTTCCATTTCCAACTGTTAAGAGAAAAAAAAGTTATTTAAACAGGTGTCAGATGACTTTTGATAAGTCTGCACTTCTGCCCAATCTCTTTGCTACATTTCATAGCCAGTCGGTCAGCATCTCATGTATCTATTTTTCAGATTGGGGGGAGGGGGGCGTATCCCCTATACCAACACAAATTTGTTGTTTGCATACTCAATATGACAAGAACTACCATTATTATTACTACAGCCTTTCCTACTACTACTACTGCTGCTACAGACTGTACTACTACAACCTACACTACTACTACTACAACAACAACAGACTACACTACTACTACAACCTACACTACTACTACTACAACAACAGACTACACTACTACTTCTACAGCTTTACGACTATTACTACTACTAAAGCCTTATGACTACTACCTAAACTTTTGCTTTTACAGATACGACAGCCTATGATATTACTACTACTACTACTAAAGCATAGCGCGGGGGGGGGGGGAGTTACACACTTTATCTCCTATTTCAAGTAGCTAGCTTTAACTATTTAAAAATGATAAAATATTCTTTGTATGGTTCATCAATGGTGATAAATTATCCGAAAGTCCCGCAATGTGCGGACAACTCGGAAGCTGGGGCTCTGTGTAAGTGTTCCTCTTCTGACACACACACACGCTACGCCTTTATATACATTTACGCACTTTAAAAACATTTATTGAAAGCCTTATTCTTTTTACATGTTTAGTTACAGCATTAAACGTTGAAATGTATATTGTAATAGGTATTGTATATTAACTTATTGGGAGAAAGGTCGTAGTTCTATGTAAAATCAGACGTTGAGCACCCCCATATCGCCAAAGTGGCATGATCCTTGTTTCGCTGCGAAACTTCGACTGTGAGATTGACAGTCGAATCAGGCTCCGCCCATCGAATCTTCGGCTATTCAGGGTCAGCCCCTGAGCATATACTACTTTTTCTACTACTACAGCCAATACTACTACTAGTTCTACTAAAGCCTATACTACTACTGGTAGTATTCGGTCCAGTGGCACACAATCTGTATTAACAATTTGCATTAGCATAGGATAAGACAATACACAATAGAAGAAGATAATAAAGCAGCATGCAAAGGGGTTAAAAACTAAAAATAATTTAAGAGCAAAAACTGCAGCAAGCATATAAACATCTGTCCAAAGTGTCATATTCAACAAGTTCAAGAACACAGCAACTAAAATTTAGTTTGATGTGTTCTGAAATCCTGAGGCATCTACACGCTCCCCGTTAGCATGTCCTCACCTTGCACAAAGACCTGGTGTGTGTCTGGTTTCAGCCTGCGATCATGCCTATCACACACTGTGGTGTGCTCTGTATATTTAACATTTTGTTCTGAGTGTCTATATGTCCTGCAACTGCATTAATCAAGACAATGTTTCCACCATGTATTTAAAATTTTGGGTGGAAAAAAAGGGAACACCAAAAGTCAAGAGCACTAACATGAGCATCCCCATGACATGGCATAGACAAGAATGCATGAAGTATGCGTATCTTGTTTGATAAGGACGGCACAAATGCATGAGCACAAGTGATGACACATGTGGAAGAGCGTGAAACTTGTTTGAGCCCACATAAACCCCACAGCGTGCCCTATGAATGTGTTTTTTTAAGCACACTATTTAGTCTATTTTCGGTAGCTAAACTCGTCTTCACGCTTACCTGTGCTGGTGTGTCTGTCTCATTTATTGGCTGTCCATCAAATCTGAACCTGATTTGCCTCATTGAAAGTCCCTGGAGAGACAAACACATACAACTTTTGTTGTAAAGAAAGCCTGAACCAACTTTTTGAACATTTAACAGCTTCACAAAGAGGTAATTCGAGAGGTGCACACAACGAAATCATATGTTCAAGGGAACAGTAACAGCATAAGGGGAAGGCTTGCAGCTTAAGTAAATATTCTCATATCATGACAGTGGCTGTGACTGATATTTGATACATGGAAGCTGCATTTTCCAATGATTGTAATAAGCACTTTCTTTGTTCTATGCTTTCTTCTGTGAACTTTACATACATGTGATGTAAAATTCGACAGCTGATGTGAGATTCCAAAACAAAAAGCAGTTAAATCTCTAACAATATGGACTACATGATGATTTCACCAATAAAAAAAAATTTAAAAAAAGAGATTCACTGTAAAGTAAACCAAATGACTTCCCTCAGCAGAGATTTTCATGGACATGTCTATTCTAAAAGTCAAAAAATGAATATAAATATGATATTTATAATATTGAAAGCCTGCGATGGACTGGCGACCTGTCCAGGGTGTACCCCGCCTTGCGCCCGATGTCAGCTGGGATAGGCTCCAGCCCCCCCGCGACCCTGTACGCAGGATAAGCGGTTGACGATGGATGGATGGATGGATAATATTGAAAGCAACAATTGCCTTGCTTAAGGAATACCCGCTGAAGTTTGCGGGTCATAGTAAAATAATGAGTTTTGCCCTCTCTTGAGGTGAAACATGAATAAAGGGAATAATGAAAAACATCTGGTTTTCACTGTAGTTTTAAAAATGAGCTCCATGACAAACATGTCTCCTTTGCCCTGCTGGCAGTCAAAGGAATAGACAACAGTGGTATTGGGTTTCCATTCTTCTTCCATTCTCCATGCGAGTTGAACCCTCATTTGACTTTCAGATAAAGAGGAATGTCAGAGGTTATGTTTCATTAGATATGCTCTTCTTAACTCTTAGGTATAGATACTTCAGAACGAACAAAGTTAGCGTCAACCCTCAGGAATGTTTTTGTACCTTTAACCGTACAATTTGAATAACTGAACTGGCTCTCATCCCAATGTTAACACATTCGAATAGGACAGCATTCCTGCAAATCTTTATAACAAGGTGCCTGGAGAAGGACAACTTCTTAGCTCATAAGTGCTGATGCAAAAGATGAGATAATTTTTGTGATTAACATGTGGAATCACAGGCAGACAAGTAAATAATGAGGTTTGGTTTGGGGCTAGGAAAAAGACCTGTGCCTGTGTTTAGATTTGCATTGCTTCTGTGGCCCTAAATGCATGCGAGCAGGAAGATAAGAGCTGCATCATAGCCAATAAACAATGAACAATAACTCTTTCAGGAAAAAATGACTGAAAACGTGGCCGTGATGAATAACTCTTTAATGAGCATCATCTGGCTTTTATTTTAGGTTTGACCTTTTAGCATACTGCAGTTTGTTTATATGTCTTGCATGTGATGTATCTGTTGGATACAACCTTGATTTCTCTAACATAATGAACTGTGACCTTACCACAAAGTAAATATCTGCAGTCAACTAAAACATTTTTACCACATCATTTACACACCAAGTGGGACTTTTAAATTGCCCAGACACAACAAATCGTTTGCTTGAGGTTAACATTATTTAGAAAGCTGTAAAACAAAATTTTAAATTACCAGTTACTAAGTGCATGCGTGATAGGGCAGAAAATAATTACTCTTATCATAGCCTTTTTTGTTTTCAAACAAGATTAAATATTTGCATTAATCAAAGCTGTTGCCATCAAGCAATTCCAATCATTATTTAAATATAATGTAAATGCAGCACAATTTGCGTCATAGCTCTTCGAAGCCTGGCTCCACACTGTCAATACATTCTGAAAGAGACCAGTGAAAGGGTAAATATTCAGGCCAAAAATATTCCAATGATTTTAGTTCATTTTGACGTGCCATAGTGGGAAAAGCTCATGTGTAATTACTAACTTTTATAATGGCTGCATTGCATTAAGGTGTGCCAGTTCCAGGGCTCAGTATTGTGCAAGCTGGCTCACTGCCATGGCTAACCAGGACACGTCAATGGAAGGGAGCCACTGTTAATGTTATTACTTATTTTTTTGAAAAGTCAAACTGTTGAGCACTGCTTGCAGTGAAAAGAGGGAGAGAAAGTGACTGTCATTTACCCCACATATTGTTCCTAAAAGTCCATCAACCGAGAGGATGTATTACATGCAGTGGGGGTAAGTTATAGTGGATGTGCTGCACCTTTTCATTCCAATAAGATAAAAAAGCTAGAGGGGGAAGTTCGTATCTAAACAGTACAGACAACATAGTCTCAAAACTACAGATCCATTTAAGGCAAATTCAGAGAAACCGTTTCTACTCAGAATACAACACTGTTTGTTCCTTCAGTGGTTGATATGCTCACCTTTAAAGCATAACAGTTTAATAATAAAGGAAAGAGAGACTGGGATATATTTTACTCCTGTAATATGCTTACTTTTTCACTGTTAACATTTTCTTAGGGGCTGAAACAACAAGCACACAGGCAAGGGTGAATATCGAAGTTATCCTTCTTTGAATCATTCACTTTGTTACAGATAAATCACCAAGTAGCAGCAGCATACCCAGTGGCCTCTACATATGTTATAGAAAATGATAGTCAAATTGCTATTGGTGTGGTATGTGGTGAGAATTGCAATAATTGTCCTTTGTTACACCTGTCTTTTACAAGTCAAAATGTCTGCAATGAAAAGGTCGTTTCAACTTTAGTTCCACAACACAAGTACACTCTGCAATACCTCTGTGCCCTCCAGTTTGGGAACCACTGGTATAGGAAGTAAAGCTGTAACATCACCCTGAATGCTGACATTGTGCCATGCCCACCTGTCTCTCGCAGTAGGCCTTCATGAGTTTGATGAGCGGCGTGTGTCTTTTGATCTTGAACTGCACCACAGATCCATCCTGACCTGCTACCTTTAGGTTTATGTGTTCGTTGCTTTCTGTCTTGACTCCTTCCTGAGGGGTGAATTCAGGGAGAAAAACACAGTTCACACAGGCATGCAGGGAACCAGAGCTGGAATAATTAGCGGACAAATCAGTTAGTTGATCGACTTAAAATATTATTGGGAAAATCAAATTTTGAAAAGTATGCAAATTGTATCAAAACACCATTAATTTCCTGGTTACAGCTTCACAGATGTAAAGAACTACCATTTCTCTCTTTTTGTAAATTGAATACTTTAATCCCCCAGCAAGTGCAAATTTAAACCAGTCTGGGCTCTTGTAAATAATTATGGGCAAATGTCATTATTGTTGACCTTTTACAGACTAAACTACACTGAATGAGTAATTGATTAATAAAAACAAAATGAAACAGACACAGTGACGTACGTGGTTAGACAAAGAGTTACAGGTAACAATGACTTCATACTTTCCCTTCAACATGTCATTAAGGTAAGTAGGGCAGTATAATTATATGTACTATAAAGTTTCAACAACTTTCCGTATCCCCTTAGTACTTGGGTTGACTTATAAGCCATTGCTGACAATGTTGCAAATAATATTAAATATACAAATAGGATTTTTCTGTACTTGTGCTGTTGCAATAACCAAATAACAAAAGATCAGTAAAAGGCTTCCCTTATCTTATAATTAATTACTGTGAGGTTTAGGTAAAAATGGATTTCAGTAAAGTTTAACTTTCCTGGGACACATTGCCTTTGTTTACACTCTTTCAGTGTCTGCAAATTCAAATCAGTACAAGATTAACCACAACCTGATATAAGCAGAGACATACCAAGAAAGGCAATACTGTACTTTCAGAGGCAAATAGCAATTCTACTTAATTCTTACTTCTACTGGTATAACCTTATTTACAGTCTGTGGGTATAACGTTACCCCTGCTGAGTGCAAACACGCTCTCCCATGTGCACACACACACACACACACACACACACACACAAGCTATTAACAGCGCACGCCATTACTCACACACACGTTGGTAAATTGAGGCATGCACCGAGGATGACACCAGCTGGTTGGCTGAGAGGGGCTTCAGCAGAAAACGATCTGCGCGCCTGCGGATGCGCGTTCACAAACCTTCCGGTCTATCAAAGTAGGTATAGATAGTAGTTGAATTTTAGCCCCAACTTTAACAAGGTGAAACAGAACATGTGAAAATGTCTGTTTTTTTCTTTGAGCCTCTGTGCCACAGACCCGCTGAAACAAACTGCTATTTTGATACAATGGATGTAGAGACACTCACCTTTGGTTTTTCATCAGCCATGGTCACTCTTTTGGCGCTTCTCTACGCTGCCACACAAAGAATACGAGTACGCGCACGTCCTCGTTCCCGTTTAAATTATTTGAACAGAACGTGCGCGCTCACGTGCCAGTGCGCGTGCACACCACCGGGCTTTGAATGGCTACAGGCAGTCACGAGGGTGAAAGCGCATTCTGGCCATGGGCGGGAGAGTCCCAATGCGCGTTAAAGAGGCACTCCGCAACACATGCACGCGCACAGCGATGTTTTTCGTTTTGTTTTCAGGTTTGTAGCATAAGTTAAGGCTAAAGTCATACCATAACATGCACCTCATCACCCTGCTGACCTCAGATCAGTGTTGCATGGTTCAGTCGGCAGCCCCATACAGTACATTACACATAGTGGGATTATAGTATTTGCACTTTTCCCACCCCCCCCTTTTTTTTTTAACCCAATAAATCTCAGCGGCCATCTTGTTTTTTTGTCTGATGATGCAGATCCACTAAAACTATATTAAGTACTTTTGCATATAGAGAACATGTATATTTACATAAGCCAAACCAAAACAAGGATTCTTAACAGAATCCGGTGAATTTCTTTTTTTTGTACATTGATAACAGAAAAAACAACAATTCCCATATTTTAATCATTCATTACTTCCCTCTTGTATGTAAACCTGGTTCCCCAGAGTAGTCATGTTATTGATTATTTGTGTTAATTTTTTTATTAACTAAGTATGCTGTACTTATCTATCTACATAATGTCGGGACAAAACCACATCAGGAGCCAAACCAACAGAGCAGGTGGAAAACCAGGCAGGACGAAGGGCAGCCCTTCAGTGACGTCATCACACTTGCGCCGTGAGGGCTTTCGAGTGAATGACTGAGGCGCGTAAGCCTGTAGTTCATGGCGTGAAGTGTTCATAGCGGAATAGTTTAGTAGTTTAAAATTTCATTGCGTTGATACTGTTGTTCCCTGATGGAGGAGGTAGATGTTGAGCCGGTAATCACCGTAAGTAACCGCTGTAGCTCTGCTTTCTCCCTTTTCTTCTTTTACTGAATAGCTAACAAAGCTAACTGAAATGTCTCTAGCTAAATTGAATCATTATAATATTTGAAAGTCACATAACGTGTGTCAAAAACAGTGAGACACATTTAACGTTATTAACAGAAATACATACAGTGTCAAAGTAGTAACAACATAATCCAAAAAAATAATGCTAGAGGACTTGTTAGAAAGTATTCAGTCTTATTTGTTGGTTAGTTAAATGAGTAACGTTAGTCTACTTGAATTAGGTTTAAGTAGTTACTAAAAAGTAGGACACTTTGCAGAAATGAAAAAAGCTGATATTAAATTCTAACCTTAACGACCCTGTCTTGCTTCTTTAAATGCAGAACATTCCTGCAGCGAGTGATGGGAAGCATTTGGGATTTGCATGGGGTCCTGGTGACATCCTGGTGCATGAGACCCTTTACAAAGCATCAGGTACGTGTAGATGTTAATACAAGCCCCTCTCTATGTTTTCACACTCTCTTGCCTAATGTCACTCTTCTATCCTTTTCTGTCTTGTATTTTTAGGTGCTACAGGATCAGGCTCCCCCTTCATCCACGAGGTCAGGAAGGACGAGGACATATATTCCCCCATTTTACGCAAACTCTTCAACGAGTCACATCACATCTTCGTTGGCCTGCAGACAGTTAGAGAGGACCTCCCCAGCAAGAACAAAAAACCCCAGTAAGGCCACCTGATGGACAAGACCTCTGATGAAGATGAAGCACCCACATAAATGATTACATATAATGATTTGTCTCTGTCTTGCTCCTTAGATTTGTCAGCATCAGTAAAAACTATAGATCTGTGATACGAGCCTGTATGGAGGAGCTTCAGCAAGTTGCAGGTCAGATGTTTGTAATAATTATTTGACAGGGACAGTGCACAGATTTGTTGCTGTACCAGAGTTGGCTCTAAGCTAATTTACATATCAAGTCCCTGGGCAGGAAACGGACAATAACATCTCTGTTAAGAAATTAGTACTCATAGTAAAACTTTGATACTTTAATCTTCGGTGTGATTACTCATCCACTTTTTCTCTTTTCTGCAGTTTCTGCAAAAGACACAGGAGTGGCCACGCAGTATGGAAATCAGGTATGCACTAGTACTGTATGTGTATCTGTTCCACGACATTACATGCTTAGGTGAAAAGTGGACTAACACACATACTTCTGTGTATTTGTTTGTGAGTAGAGCTAGGCAATATAAATCCGTTTTAACATTTATTATCTTTTGGTTGAATGGTATTGTGACAGTATAGTAACACATAATTATGTCGTATAATTTGTGATAACATTTTATTTGAAAACTTAAACACTTGCTCATTACTTACAGTAAGTAAAGGAGCAATTAATGTGAAGGTGCTAATGCAGAGGAATAAATATTCATTTTAGACTGTTGGATTATTTTGTTTCCATTGACATGGTCCTAACCTCAGTCTCTGTGGTGGTGTGACAGGTGTCCATTCTGTTGGCCATTGAACTGATCTGGAATCTGTGTGAAGTGCTGTTCATCGATGCTGCTCCTGGTTAGAGTTTGACTTTGTGCTTGTGGTTTATCTCCACAATATATTTTATAATTTTTGCGACTATGAAAGCGCCCAAATAAACAGGTCAGCTGTGTGCGTGTGCGCGTGTGTGTGTGTGTGTGTGTTTGTCTGTGTCCTTAGCGGGCTCCCTGTTGCTTCACCTCCTGGACTGGGTAAGGTTACACAAGGCTGATGTGGATGAGAAGGCCAGAGAAGTGCTGCAAAGTGAGAGCCCTGCTGAGCACCGTGACTACTGGGATGTGGTAGGTGCAGCATACGCACACATTTATGTCTTTGAATCTATAACAGCTATATGCACACCTAACCCCGATTTTGAGCAGATATGTTCTCTTTCCCAAAACCACCATTCAGAGTGATCCTCATCTTTTTACTTTTTATTTATATTGTATTTTTTCATGGAGCTCCAGTTATAGTTATCACGTGTTGCATCTGGGCTGTGCAGGTGGTGAGTTACGTGCTGCAGGGCAGGCTGGAAGAAGCCAGACAGATGCTGGTGAAGCAGATCACGCTACAGCCTGCTGCCAGTAACATGTACAAGCTGATGGACACTCTGCTCAGCAAGATGCCCTTCTACAATGTAAGACCATCTTTCAATGGTTTATCTTATTGTTTAGCTTCAGTCGGCCTTGGCAAGATGATAGTTTTTATATTCTTGACTTAGTCTAGAACTAGTTCACATATGGTTTGGTCTCAGCTGTAAATGAAGTTGCTTTTATTTGTCAAGTGGAAAAGGTGCAAAAAATCATTTCCTTTGGCTAATCGGTGCCGGCTTATGACAATCCACATGGAAGAGGATAACTTTTTTTATGTGTCATTATGCCAAGTTTGTGCAGAAATCACACACATGAATGAAGTTACATCTTCAGGTATATTACAGTTCAGCAGATTGACACCTCAATGTTCAGCCTCAAAAACAACCATGGAATCAAATCAGCTCCTCTTCTTGCAGAATATACTGTAGTCTCAGAAACAGTTGAACACCATAAGCTTCACAAAACTAGTTTTGATTGCAGTGCTGTTGCATTAAATTCTATTATGTTATTGTTTCTACCACAACTTTTATGTAATGCATCCTCAAAGCTGATCGGCAGTACTATTACTGTGATTTGAAAAAGACCTGTGTTGGCTATATTAACAAGACTTTGAGTTCAACATCCATCAGATTCTTTGTTTATTTTAACCTGGTGTGCTATGAATAAGTCGTAACACTGTATTCTAACTTCCTTAAATTCCTTTTAAATAACATAATGTGCGGGGGCGGAGTAATCATAGGAATGAGCTAGAAGTTTCCATAAATATATCCACACTGACTGTGTGTGTAAGTGAGCAGTCATTAGGCACACCTCTCACCAAAAACAATACAGAAACATTTTGTAAGTGTGTCACACATTTAATGTTAAAACTACATATAATGTGTATTTTGCTCATGAGAGAGTTCATCTCTGGTCCTATCCTCCTGACACACCAGTTCCTCCCTCCCTTCACAGATATCTTACAAACAAAGCATTTATGTTCATAAAACACAGGGGTGGCTTTTGCATAATTCAAGCAAAATGTTAGCCCTCAAAACAACGATGGAGGCTTTTACCTCTGAGCTTTTTTTATGTTAATCTTTCAGCCTGGTGGCACCCAGACGCTAACAGAGTTTGATGTGAAGTGGAGAAACTGGCATGAGGAGGTGGACCGCTGCCTGCAGGACAACTCGTTTGCCAGCAACCAACACCTGGAGCTCATCTGCAAGGTCAGTGACCCTGAACCTTCAGCCGCCCTAGCTGTATCTGAAATGATATCCGTAGTCTACTGTATAAAGCAGTGGGAAGTCCTGTTTAAGACATCCGATGTAATAATGTTTTGTTGTTGTGTAAGTTCTCCATAGATCATACTTCCAAGATCTTTTCTCGGGCATATATTTGACCATGTGAGGTTTTAAGACTAGAGTATTAATCCCGCACATTTCCTCACCTGTTTTTTCACTTAATTTTAGATCCTAGTTGGGGATGAAGACACTTTGCTGGAGCACAAGGAACTGTTGAGCACCTGGTACCACTTCCTGGTCACTAGACTGCTCTTCAGCCACCCAACAGTCAAACCCACTGAGTTACACTACTATGCACAGGTACACTACACTAACAGTTGCTGCACCTCTCATCATTCACACTCACTGCTGCTACATTCCTGTAATTTTGTGTGTGTGTGTGTGTGTGTGTGTGTGTGTGCGCGCGCTGCAGTCATGCATGACCATGTTTCTGGACTCAAGGAGCGTCCCAGAGCCGCTGGACAGCATCTTACTGGCTGCCTTTGAGTTTGACATCCATCAGGTCATCAAGGACTGCAGGTAACTTGCAGGATTATGTCCATCTATATACACACACAATACAGTATATACAAGCCACGCACGTGTTTGTGCCTACATGTCTATGAACTTTAACTCTTTGAACACACTGTTTCCTCATTCGTCTCTTCAGCATTGCTCTCAACAACTGGTGGTTCGTGGCCCACTTGACAGATCTGCTGGATCATTGCAAACTCCTCCAGTCTCACAATCTACAGTAAGGACCGTGTTTGACTTTAATTTGGAGATGTCAAGATTGCACACGTTATTCATATAACAATTTAACTTGTCATTGTGTGTGTGTGTGTGTGTGTGTGTGTGTGTGTGTGTGTGTGTGTGTGTTTGTTCAGCTTTGGCTCCAACTTGAGAGAGTTTCTCCTGTTAGAATATGCTTCTGGTCTCTTCACTCATCACAGGTATATCATATACTCAATAATTGACTATTAATTAATTCAGTGTCCTAGAAGGTGATGGGTCTCTACAAATGTCTTGTCTTATTGGAAGTTTTTCTGTGGGTGTGTTTGTGTTAAGTCTGTGGCAGTTGGCCGTGGACTACTTTGACAACTGCCCGGAGTTTGGCCGCGTCTACCTGGAGCTGCAGATTGAGCGTGTTCCTTTAGACACAGAGCGCAAAGCCCTCAAGGTGCTCAGGATCTGTGAACAGAGGCAAATGTCTGAGCAAGGTAGCACTTTCTTTCTCAGTGCTTCTCTCATTCTGTAGTATCCACTTGTTTTACGTTTTAGAATTTCACACATTTTTTAATTTCTCATTCTCATCCAGTGCGGAGTATCTGTAAGATCATGGCTATGCGGGCCCTGAGGAACAACAGACTGGGCTCTGCTCTCTCCTGGAGCATCAGGGCCAAAGATGCTGCCTTTGCCACCCTCATTTCAGAGAGGTTAGTTCCCTTAATGTACATGTTCCAGATGTTTGCCTACTCTGTCTGTGGCTGTGCTGGAACCTTTAGAAGAAGAACTTCCTGCACTGAAAAAGGCCTTTTTAAACTTTTGTGTGTGGTGTAGTGTCTTTTTCTCCACAACACAATTCCCATTAGGGATGCAGTTTATGGATTTATATCAGTTGATACTGATAATATCTCATGGCTGATAAAATTTCACATTTTTGTAGTTTAGAAATAAGTTATTAACCTGTAGTGTATGCACACCTTTAATATTCCATAGCTCTGACCACAAATAAATCAAACTGACATTACTATTAACATAACAAACACAGCGAAGAGACTCCTTTAAATGTTAATTTCATTTTCAATAATAAATAATAAATAAATTTCCCATTATCAACTGATAATTTATCAGCCCAGTATATATTGTGCATCCCTAGTTTCTACCATGAACTCTGGTCCAAAAAGCTGCTCCTTGTTCCCGTCACTTTGTGTCTGTCCAAACTGTCCCTTGCTGTGCTGATATCATGTTTTCTGGGGACGCCTTACATGTGGCCGATTTTTAAAAACAAATCAAGCATTGTAGTCTGTTCAAGCTCTCAAATAAATTACAGCTTGCTGATCTCCCTGTGAAAGCACTTTGTTGTATGGTTGCTTCTTTAAAAGTGTGTTTGTGTGTCAGGTTCTTACAGGATTACTGCACCAGAGGGACCTTCTCTGATTTGGACCTGATAGACAACCTGGGTCCAGCAATGCTGCTCAGCGACAGACTTACTTTCCTTGGTATGAACAAGGGACACACACACTGCAGCATTGGTAGCACTGCTCCACATGTGACGCAGCCTTTGTAGTGCTCTCACAAGTTAAATTCACACATCAAGTCAGGGGACATTCAGTCAGGGCTAATTGTCTCCTGGACTGCTTCCCTTACAGTTTCTCATAGGCTGAACAAATCAGGCACTGCGCTTCCACATTGCTTCACAGTCATTCTAAAATAACATACGTAACCAGGCGCTACCAGATTTTTTTGTAGATATAAATGATATCATCTATAAGTAAATATATATATTATATATATATATATGGTAAACTTTATTAAACTGTCCGTTTATAAATAGACCTCTGTATTTATGAAGATGCATACACAAAGACTTGTTCGATGGGTATTGGTATATGATCTGGGAGGAGACAAAAAAACTGTTTAGTAAAAGCAGCAACTCAAACTGCACATTTATACTGTTAGTTATACTGCACATTAGCTTGGTTGTAATCAAAACGTATTAACTTGGGCCAGTGTTGCAGTTTGGAAACGTTGCTCTCTTTTCATTCTTCAGGGAAGTACCGGGAGTTCCACAAGCTGTACGGAGAGAAGCGCTTCCGTGAGGCGGCTAAGCTGCTCCTCTCCCTCATGACGGCCAAGATCGCCCCCCGAAGCTTCTGGATGACTCTGCTGACCGACGCCCTGCCGCTGCTGGAGCAGAAAGAGGTCAGTCACCACGAACTGTGCAGTGTACTGTGTAGAAAAGTTTTATCATTATCATCACAAGATATTGGCTAAGTACAGGTAAATACCGAGTTACATTAAGATATAGATTGATGCAGGTGTGATACAATTTTTGTTTGTTTTATTTAAATTATTTTGTAATTTCTTTAGATAAATTAATAAAATATGCTATTATATTAAATTGCATAAAACTTCCAAGACGACATAAAATGCCAAATAAGAGCTGCAGGTAAGGATTATTTTCAGTATTGATCAATCTGTTATCATTTTATCTATAAAACATTGGAAAACTCCATTACAGTGTCCAGAGGTTCAGGTGATGTCTTCAGATATCTTCTTTTGTCTAACAGTCAAAACACAGAGTTATTCAGTTTACTAAATATTTGACATTATTGCTTGAAAACACCATGAAAGATGAACTAATCATAACAAAATAGTGGCAGATTAATTTTGTGTTGGTCAATTAATAGACTGATTGTTGCAGCTCTATACTAGGTTGTAGCCCAACATTCTTCATATACATTTATTGAAGTTTGCAGGATAGACATACACAGCATCAAGCTTTAACAGTGGCTGTCAGACTGAGGATTTTTCAGTGTGATCAGATTCATAATTGCTTCAGTTTAGTTAGCCACTCCAAATAAAACGGCATATGGTTTTAGTTTAGATGTTGTACTAAACAGAAATAATGTCCAGTGTAAGTATTTTCATGGCACAGACTTAAACTTTACATAACAACAAATGTTGCAGTTTCTTTTGCTTGCAAAGAAGTTGGTCTGTGGACAGTTTTAGCTAAAAGATGGCTTTGTTTGTCGAACTTTCAGGTGATCTTCTCAGCAGACCAAACCCACGAGCTGATGTTCTGTTTAGAGGAGCTAACCTCCTCACTGAACACCACAGCTCCCGGCACAGACCGACCCATGCAGGTAGGAATCTCCTCACACAGCCTTTTATCCTGCGCAGGTGATGCTGTTGCTTTGATTCTTTTCATTTTTGGCAAAAAAAGAGCTTTTAGTTGCTGGCGAAACCTCGAGAGGAGGTTAGGTTCACAGGATAAGTTGAAAAACCGTCAGTTTCTCTCTAACTCCTCCCCTCCCGCGGAGCCTGAGGCGGCTGTCTGACACACTGTTTCATTTCCTCATTCATTCTGTCGATATCAAAGCACATATCTGAATGCTTTTACATCTTTAAAAACTTTAAAATCCCGGTTAGATAGGCTATTAGTTCTTTACCCAAACATGATCTTGAACATGACTACTTTATGATCAATCATTTTCATTATTACCTGCTGATAGTCTGTGTTTTGACAGCATTAATAAAATACGAAATGAGCAAGGTTTTATTAATGTAAAATGGATATCTATAGACACATTTTCCACTGCAAAAAAATTATTAATAGGCTAACCTGCTGGGTGTGACTGTGACCCAGGTTAACGAGTAAACTGTCTTCTATTTTCATAATCAGGTAGCCGATTGCCACAGGCATTTTGTCCCGTCGGGTTACACCTTAATAAATATAGCCTTCCTATTTAAAATCGAATGTAATGGGCTGTAGCACTTTATCATTCATTAAGGAAAGTCCAGTCTGGTAAATGATTAATGAGCAACGCTGTGTAGTAGCCTAATAATGTTAATGCACTGATCCTTCTTCCACTCCTGCGTTGTAGAGCCTATCGTGGTCTGCGTTGGCACGCATTCGTATTACTAGCTCCACCCAATTAAATTGGGAGGCTCTGCCTTTATTTACCCGTTGCCATGGTGAATCGTTGTATCGGAGCTCCATTGATGATGGCTTTTTTTCATCCCCAAGCACGCACTTCCATCAGGCTCAACATACTCAGAGTTGATTGAACTTATTCTGATCAGCTGTTCTGGAACTGAAAATTCTGAGTTTCCCACCTCAGGCTCAATCAACCCAGAGCTCAGGGATAAGGTCAGAGTTTATTAAGCCTGCTCTCTGAAACAGGGCCCAGCTCTACAATCATTGCTCTGCTGTATTTGTCATTTCAGGATGAAGACATAGAGCTGACCAAAGTGGAGCTCCTGAGACTCGCTCTGGCCAGGAATCTGGCTATGGCCATAGTCAAAGAGGGAACAGTGGAAGCATGAATGACATTAAAAAGCTCGTTTGCAATTTTTGTACTGTACATAAAATTCAAGTAAACAAAATGTGCTCTTTTCATAATAAAAGGTTTTCCTGATGCACATTGTTTTTAAATTGGACTTTGTGCTACCCTGTATTCGATGAGTTAAAAAAACTCTGAATATCAGACATCAACTGAAAGAAATATTTATTTTTTTCATGCAGCAAACACATGGCACATCATACAGTATGTACAAACCTAACACTCTCTCGAAATCTACACGTCACATGTTCACATAACTTGTCACACAACAAACGATAGGTACATTACATACTATGTACATTAAACACACACTGTTCTCTACATCCCACATAACGACGAGTTGAGGACTACCAGAGAAAGGGACCTAAGGGATCATCGGTTGGACTGATTCATGAAAGTGTGACAGTTCCACTATCACGCTGCAAAGTTACCCGCCTGTTGACAGATTTCCCTTTCCAGCTACCAAATTTAAATTCCGATTTTTCAGTTCACATTTTCTAGGTTCAGTGATGCACTGAAACACTAAAACAGGAAATAATAAGTGTGACAAAAATACTCCAATACTGACACTGGTAAATATGTGAACATGGATACCCACTGCTAAATCCATGACTGAAATGCTGAAAACCTGTGCAAATCGCCTTTATTAATTTTTCAACAGAAAACAAACTAATCCACGAAATAAAGCCAGAGTTGGCCTCTGCAGACTCAAGTCATAACGACATAATAATAATAACCATGTAAAGTGCAGTTTGCTGCCTTTACAGCACAAAATTCAACATTGTCGGTCCATTAATCTAAAACGAGGCTAAATAAACTAGTTACTCAAAGGTTCAGTGTGTAACCTTTAGTGGCATCTAGTGGTGAGTGTTATGAATTGCAACCTGTGGCTCATGGTGCATTCACATGCACCTCGGATGGTCCCATTTTTTCCGATTTCAGAGTGTTCATGTGCTCTTAAGTCGGAATGTGGAATCAACATGGATGCTACTCCAAAGATGTGTTGGATTAGCATTATCAGAGCGTATAAACACGCAGACAGCTAGTTCACTCTACATGGACAGCAAACTAACTGTATAAACAATATAACTGTATAAAATATGTAAATGCAACACGTGATTTTGCACTAATCAAAGTTCTGTGTACTTCTTAATGTCCCATGTACACTTTATTTCTCTTTTTGCAATAAAGATTTAAGGAGTAAAAACACAAATACACCATCAGTCGCTGCTCACCACTCCAAGCGCGCAGACGAAACGGTGGCTGACATGATGTCTGCTCCTGTGCTAAATAATGTGTGGGCCTCCATCTGTGCAAATTTCTCTTCTTACTTCTAATAAACCAGATCACCACCACCACCACCACCACTACTACTACTACTTCTTCTTTGTATGTATTCAGCGTAGTGATGAAACGTGCTCTGCAGCGCTGTTTGTACATTAAGGCTTCTGTAGAAACATGGCGGCACAACATGGCGACCTCCATGTAAGAGGACCTGCGGTTTATGTAGATAGAAATGGCTCATTCTAAGGTAATAAAACATAACGATTCATTATGTATGGTCTTTATACACCGCTGTAAACATAGTTATGTATATTGTATTTCATGTCTGTCAATAGATCCTCCTAAATATTACACACTGGACCTTTACGTCAAAAATCACAATGGATGAAATAATCACATTACAGTCAACTATCTTCCTGCAGCAATGACTATGTGACAGTACTTTTTACTTTAACAGATATTTTCCAGTTTAACTCTACCAGATCCCATTTCCACATTTCTGGATATTTTCAAGTATATTTTCCATGGGCTAAGACACTGCTCAGCCAGAAGAATAAATAAAAGAGTTTGTCTCTTAGGCTCTGTTAGCTTAGCGGTTCATTTCTTTTTGTAATACTTTGTTATCCTGCAGTGCATCCTGTCTGTCCAGTCTGAGGCTGAGCTCTAATGCACTGATGATTTATATACATTCACATCTGTTATATTTATCTTGGGGGAAATCCATTAAAATATTTTTCTCAATACTGTCAACCTGTAAACACCATGGCTGTCTTACGTGTCAGTGTATATCTTTAGTTTGTTAGCTATCTGCAGAAAGGTACACAAGCACTGAGTAAATAAAACTTTAGTGTCTGCTGTTTGCTTCTCACTGCCAGTAATAACAATGGCCAAACAAAAGAACAACTATAAGGAATGTGAAGCTGAAAGGTAGAGTGCAGCTGAATTTCCCCTCCTTTCTCTCTGGGATGGATGTGAACGCACACACTCACACCCCTTCATGGAGCATGAACTGGTCTGTCCCTGCTGACTGGTAGCAGGCCTGCGCATTGCTATAGATGACCCCATGTCTCTTGTGGGGGGAACTGATCGACCTCTCCAACCTCGTTGCACGGACGGTCTCCTAGTGTGAAAGCCAGCTTGTAGCGCAGACGCACCTTCTCCTGTGAAGACACACACACACACACACACACACACACACACACACACAGAAGCATTTTCAGCATCTATCCAGAACCTCTCTGTCTGACTGGTGTGTGTATTTATGTGCTTAAGTGGTATTATGTCACCTACCTTTGTTGGATTGGCCAGCAACATGATCTGGGTAATGGAGGCTGGAGGCTGGATAGGGTTAAATGGTGCCAGTTCTGTTCCTGATGGAGGCTGCAGCTTCACCTTCATTGACTGGTGGGGGATGAAAGGAAGAGTCAGCACTGTTTCCACAGGCAGTGTTTTTTCGCTGGGCGTGGACGAGGCATAGCAACACAAAGAATTTATTTCCCACTAAAAGATCTCTGGAAGATGCATATTTGATTTGACTAAGTTAAGAGAGGGGGAATGATTACAGGGACCAGTTAATCTTACAATGTACACAATGACAGTATTGTTTATAAGACAGACTTGGAGAAATGCAAACTAAGATGACAGGCCAGTTGAGGAGAGAGAAGGGGCACGATGCCCAACAAAGATACCAGGCGGATCTGTTAAAATATATTGTATAATGTCAAATATGAATAAAGAAAAGGAAACATAAATACGTTCATAAACAGTACACGGAAAAAGCTAATAAAACCTTTACGCTCCCTCAATGACAACACAGCAAATAAAAGAACACAGGAAACACACAGTGTGTCCAATGACCTTGAGGCACCCAATGCTAATAATGTGATAATCAAATATGCCGATGATACTAACTATCATTGGGCTGATTACTTCAAACGATGAATCTCATTATCGCGAGGAGGTGGAGAATGTTGTTCAATGGAGTAAGGAAAATAACTTGCTTTTGAACACTTCAAAAACATGTGAACTTGTTATTGATTTTTGTCACAATAGGAATCATGTGCCTCTTACTATCCATGACTCCGATGTGCAGATTACTGAGAAATGTGAATTTTTGGGTGTGACTCTTTCGCATGATTTGAACTAGAGCTCTAATACGACTAAAATTGCTAAGAAAGCGAGACAGCGCCTCTTCTTTTTACGTAGGCGTCAAGAGTTCACTCAAAACACTAAGATTCTTTTGAACTTTTGTATGGTTTGATAATCTCACCTTGAAAGAGAAGAAGTCTTTGAACAAAGTGGTTCGCTCAGCCAGCAGGATCATTGGCTCTACTTTGCTGCTCCTGGAGGTTACATATAAAGCTATACTTTTGAATCGAGCTTTAAAACTTGCTAATGATGCTTTAGGCCATCCTGCAGGGGCCTTCTTTGAGATGCTTCCCTCAGGGAGAAGGTATCACTCACATCACACACAAATGTTCTACCGATCGCCATTTCAACAGTTTTTTCCCCAAGCTGTGATCACTTTAAACAAAGCACTTTAAATTAGGCACTTTATATCTTATGGATGGATTTTATTGAATAGTGTTTTATTACTGAGTTTTATGTGGCACTTGCTTGTCTGTTTTATGTTATGTCTTTTATGTTTTTTATGTGGTGACATTGCACTTTGAGCTTCTTGCATATTCTTTTCCAATGTGGTTTTAAACTGCAAATGGCTAATAAAGTGAATCTGAATCTGAACCTGAATGAGCAGAGGAGTAAATGTCTTTACCTTGGGAACAGCAGCTTGCAGTACAACATTGTAAACAGGCAGGGGCGCTGTATTAAGCATGGACACCACCATTACCAACACGTCGGGCCTGCCTGGGGGACAGTCAGATGCAAAGTTGAGGAGCATGCGAACACCGTCCTTATCGTAGGCCGTCACAGGCAGCACTTTACCTGAGGACAGATAGGGCACAGCCAATCAGAAACAGGCAGACATCAGGTGTTTAAAGAGTCTAAATCCATCTATGTATTTTTTATAGTTTGTCATTCCATTAACCAGTCAATCATTCTTTGCTCCCGCTCTCTTCTCTCCTGTCCTTACTCGGTCTGATGGCCTCCAGAGGGACGTGCACATTGCTCAGGGAGGTGTCTGTGGGTCTGGCCGGGCTTCCCTGGAGGGGAGGGTGGCAGGGGGACAGAGAGCGGAACAGAGGGCTGCCCGGGGCCGAGCCCAGGCTCTGGGCCTTGGCGTGGGACAGAGCGGGGGAGCTGGGCATTGTGCCCTGGAGAAAAGAGGTTGAGGAAGGAGAACACTGCCCCGGTACGAGGGGAGGTGCTGCTGCAGGCGTTCCAAAGCTGCTTCCTCTGGCCGTCATCTGGCTGGACAAACTGAAAAAAATAAAATAAAACAAAACTTGATGGATCACTATGGGACCTTAAAGTACTGCAGACTGGTCAAATAAGAGCACCATTTAACAATGTATCCAATAAGAGCATAATAAAAGAAAATGCTATGGAATTATACTGTGTTTGCTATTATCCAAACTGTTAGAAAGTATTGATTTCCAATTAAACAGTGGAGAGACAAAGGCTGTACCACTTGAGATCTGAAAAGCCCATCAAGGCCAGGTCCTGCAGGTTCTGGAGACTGTGTGTGGCAGCAGCTGGTTCAGCTGGGGGCACCACTGGACCAGAAAAAGCTAGGCTGCCAAACATATCCACACTTGAAGCTGGAGCCTGCAGGCGGAGACCAAGATCATTTACCCTCTCGTATTACACACTGACTAATGAGCTGTGGTTCGGTTAAGGTTAAACCATTTTAAATGTACCTGCAAGGACGTCCACTGATTGGACAGTTCGCTCAGCTTAGGTTTTGACTGGCTGCTCAGAAAGGTAGGGGGGTCGTTCAGTCCTGAAAGAAGGTACGGGCACTTGTATCGTCAAAAGAGAGAAAAACTTCTATCTTAAAAACAGGTTTCTTTTTAGTGCTCTCACAAACCACATCAAGGAAATGGCTACATTAAAGTAATAGTTCAACATTCTGAGAAATATGCTTATTCGCCTTCTGGTGGACCGTTAAAGGAGAAGGTAGATATCACTTCTCACGCCTGTTAAATATATGGCTACAACTAGGAGATTGTTAGCTTAGCCTAGCCTGAATGTTGAAAACAGCTAGCCTGGCTATATTTGAAGTTAACAAAATCTGCCTACCAGCTCCTTTAAAGCTCACTTCTTAACACATTATGTCTAATTTGGGATTGTAAAACAGGAAATTGGCCATAATACTGGGGGTTATATGCCAGACTATTTCTTGGCTGGGAGCATTTGGAGACTCCAGGAAGTCCCTACTTCAGATGAAACAAACCATATATATGTTTTTAGTGAGCTTTAAAGGTGCTAGTAGGATTTTGATACCAGTGGACAAAGCCGGACTCTCGAATTGTTACTTTAACTCAATAAGTCACGAAGGGAAAATACTACCTAGAGACAGCAGCTCATCATCGAGGAGAGAGAGCGCGGCCGAGGCCTTGTCGAGGGGGGGGTGACTCGGGCTGTTGCTCTGACTGCCATGGGAGCCGGCTAGGCGTTTGGGAGGAGGAGGTAGGACAGGGATAGAGGAAGCCATGGGATTGGTGGAGACAGGATTTGAGGGCTGGGAGGGAGGGGCAGCAGGTTGAGGGGGACTCGGAGTGTCAAGGCCGGCGAGGTCGATCAGCGTCTCTGTTGTCTCTGGGTAGTGACGTGGAGAGAATGAATGATTGCAGCAGCTGAACTGATTACACAACAGCAGGGTGTCTGGAGCAGAAAGCGTTTTCATGTAAAATGCAAACACGTGCGTGATTATAAAATGTCTCTCACCACTCTCACTGTGACCAGCTGTGGGTTCCTCACTGTCACCGTTAATGGGCTGCCCCTCAACAATCTTCTTATAGGAGTTGATGACCCTGGAGAGGTCATCGCTGGCCTGCAGGATGTCACCTGAGGAGTCATCGGACAGAGGTTACACATTACACATGACGAAACGGCCAAAATGTAATGAAGACAGGGCTTCTTCACGTAAAAAGACAACACCAAACCAGCAAACCTAAACTGCCGTCGTTGTCCTCCGTCTCAGTGGCCATTTTGAAAGCAGCACGCCTCAGCTTGTCACAACGCCCGTAGAGGTCCTGAGAGGAAATACAAAGGAGGTGCTGTATAGTTTCACACAGCTGTTAAGTCAGTTTTTTCACTTAAATATCACAATGCAAACATATAACTTTCAGGCATATATGAGATTTAACCAAGACTCTTAAGTTACTCAGATCTCATGAGTCTGAGGACCAAATGTCTGGAGTTGTTGAACTTTTAAAACCCAAATCATGTGAGGTTGTAAAATGCACAGAGAACAGTGATTGTTTACCATTCTGACTGCCTTTGATTGCATTATTGTAAATGACACTGAAGGGAAAATAGATGAGACGACACGTGTGCCAGTTGAACTTTCTCTGGAGGATAAGAGTTTGAATTTCACTGTGCAGTTCTGGATTAGAGTTCAGTATGAGCCAAAATGGTTGATTTCAGAAAAGTGTCACTATTAGACACAAGAGAAAAATCAAATGCTACAAGAGGGAGTTTTAGATTGTAGAGAAAAGGATGTGTGTGTGTGTGTGCACGGACACACACCTTAATGATCTCCTTGTCTGAGTCAGTGGAGCTGTCTTTATTGTAGTGGGACAGCATCTCCGTCAGCAACTTGACATTGATGTTCACCTCCTCCAGCGTGTGTATACGCTTTGTGACCTTGTGTACTCGTGCTTCATCCTGACAGAAACAAAACACAAGACAAAATGTACTATATACCGCACATAGAAAGGGTCATGTCATAATATGAAAAAAAAAAAACACCTTGGCAGAAACTCTTGGGCCAAAACAATTTGAACAGTCTAACAGTCACAAATCCGTTCATTCCACGTGTCCCCATAGCAGAGAGCAGCTTGTAGGTACATTTGAAATCAATATGATGACTGTTCAATATTCAGCAAGCCATTCTGACACGTCTTACCTCTTTCACCATGTTTTTGATTAGTCTGTTGGCTTCCTGCAGGTCCTCTGGATTTTTACTCCGGAGAAGCTCAGCAAGCAGCTACATACACACACACACACACACACACACTTGTGTAACGCATTTCATTTAACGATGCAGCTCAAAGAGCTTCACAAAACATGATCACAATAACAACAGATAAAAGGCAACAGAAGAAACAAAAAACAGATTGATAACGCATCAATAAAAAAGGGAATGATACCAGAAAAGTCAACCCAAAAGAAAACATAAGTCTTCAATGTCTTTTTAAAAAACGCCAATAGAGTTTTGTTGTTCTAAGGGGAGGGAGTTTCATAGTTCAGGGCCATAAAAACAGAAAGCAGCCTTGCCAGATGTCTTGTGGGACACTTTAGGAAATTCTAAAAGAAAACTTTGTAGGTGAGTAAAAGGGCTTTAAAGTCAATTCTAAAAGACATAGGAAGCCAGTGCAGTGATGCCAGCAGAGGGGTAACGTGAGCTATATGTTTGTATTAGTTAAAGTTATGGCTGCAGCGTTGTGAATTATCTGTAATTTTCCAAAAGACTTTTTAGGGAGACCAGTAAAAAGAGTTGCTCTAATCTAAGCGTCTTGCAATAAAAACATGTGTCAGCATCGTTCCTCAGATTATGTTGTTGCAACTTTGTTGAAATGAAATGATGATGGCCTTCACTTCTTATTTAGAGAGGATTTATGTTTTTGAGTTACTTCACATTTAAACTACCTGTTCTAATTTGTTTTTTCTTACATCTCTCACCTTGCCCATGTCCTCATTGTCAAACACTGGATGTTTAGGGCGTGTCGGAGGAGAAGGAATCAGAGTCCTGTCCAGCGGTAACTCTGGGTCCCGTGTCACGAGGCCTGGTGGAGAGAGTGAGGACTGGATTGATAAGTTTCCTTTGAGGCGGATGTCTTTTCACATGCATTATGTTAAGCATCTCAACACACCCTGCCTTCTCAGCGTCTGGTAGGCTTCGCTGATCTTGGTTTCATTTGGAAATGCCACCGTCCAGCTGTACAGCATCTCTACAATCTTCATCTTCACTTTCTCAGGCGCGCTGCCACCCATGTACTGGAAACAAGAGGTGATTTAAAAAAAAAAAAGGTTGGATAGCAGGACAAACAGTCAGCAGATGTTTTATTTGCATGAAATACGGACCTATTCAGAGACTGCTCACCTTTGGTGACACGACTTTAATCAGCTCATTTAAAAATCTATATTTTCCAACTTCATTATGAAACCTTCTCCCGCAGTTCTTCATACACGCCTCCAATACCTGTACATAAAAGCGTTAAACCAAAGTGCTTGCTTCAGTAGTTGAGGACAAAAGGGTGCTTGTTGACATTAAGGTGAAGTATTTCTTACGGTCAGAGCCTGAAGAGCTTCCCATTCTTGTGGTGAGTGGATTTTGTGGACGAGTAGAGTTACAGCGATCTGAGGACTGAGAGAACAGATTCCAGATGAGAAACTTTCTCTGAGTTGACAAAAAAAAAAAGTTTGTGAAATACTTCACCAACATACCCTTCCAGTTCCTTGTTGATCTGATCACAGAAGCCAATGATGTACTCCCAGTCCTCCTGTCTGTTTGTTGGATGGGTGGCTTTATCTGTTGGAGAAAGACATTTTAACTGCTGTGTTTGTGGAGTATTATTGCTGTGCACACCCTGCTGTGAATATGGCCCCCAGTGAGTCTTGTGCTCAACATAACAATGCAGTAATTGTTATCATTCTTCCTCTTTGTAGTTGCTGATGTAGTGTTCATTGTATTGGCTGCTCTTTCATCATTCAAACGAATCTGTTTTTTTCTGTTCAACAGCTGCAAGTATTAAGCGGTACTGAGGGACAACTATCTGTACAGCTTCAACAACCACTACACACGCTGAGCTGTCACTGGTAAATGTAACCCAGACAGTGTTTATTTTAGCTCTCCACCCACCCTGCTAATGATGCAGACAGCAGACTGTAAACCAGGACCCTTTACCAGCTGTGAATCAGCCGGAAAGCCCGCTGACAGCCTCCGTACTAGCGAAGTGACTGATCTGCCATCAGGTGCAATGTCTCTACCTAATTATCCATACTATTTAATTCATAAAATGGGATTAATCACTCACTGAGCCAGGATTCAAGCGACTCCCCTTCCTGGTACGCCATAGCACTAAAAACATCGCGCGATGTCACCGGCGACTGCGCGAGAGTCCAAAATTATTTTTCGGAACTATTGAAATAAAAAACAGTATCTACCATTGTTTAACAAAAATCATATTTTGCCTCAGTGTTGAAATGAAAATCAGCAGAATGCTGATTTTCAATGCTGCTTTTGGAATTTCTTCAAGGCGTCTGCAGGTGATACTAATCTGGGGTCCTCACTGACGCTCGCTCACATTTTCAAGATGGCTGCTTCCATAGCAGGATTGTTAAAACCTTGGACACCGAGGTAATTATAGTTTTTATAAAGTTATAAACAATTATTAAGTGGTGTTAGCGGTCTGTGTAATTTTACTGTGACATGAGAACATTTTTCCTGCCATTCAGTCCAAACTGTAATTTAGCGAACGAGCTCTTCTGTTAAATAACAGCACCGGAAAGATTACACTAATGTAACATTATAGTAGCAACACTGCAATAAACTATTTACATTATTGATCCGCTAATGTCTTTTTAGTCAGTCACAATGATAATTTACTCAATAGAGTGTCCAAAATAATGACATATTACCATCACACGTTAACAGAATAGAGTAAAATGTCTTCAGTCGGCTTCAACCGATGATTATTTTCTTTTATTTCATTGTTTCACATTTAAAACCTCACAAAAGAACAACAAAAAAAAAGTCACAACTTTCCAAAGCCTAAGGGGACGCTTTCTTATGTTCTTGTTTTTGTTCTAGACCACCATTCAAAAACCCAAGGCTATTCAGTTTATAATATAAAACTTTTATGTTGTTCTTTACAAAATTAGCTAAAATGGCCATCAAGATTTCAAAATCCAACTTGCAGTCATCAAATTTCTCTTTTTTGCCCGACCAACCCAAAGAAATTAATTGACTATTGATATTTTATACAAAGAAAACAACAACTAAGAAAACCAGCAAATTTCCAAATATGACCGTTCACAGCCAGTGAAATGGATCTCCAGGCACACCAGCTCTCCAAGTAGATAACTCTCTCACATGTCCTTTGGTTTGCAGAGTGTTCCTGGTGAGATGGAGCAGATACAACCCTTACTATCTAGAGCCAGAGGTCAGGAAGGAGGCCTACAGCACACCAGAGACAGAGCTGAGCGCTGAGGAAAAGGAGCAGCGGGAGCTCAAAGCGATCAGACCCATCAAGGCAGCAACCGGCGGAGTCAGCAGCTCTGTTTTCAGCGACCCAGTCCTCAGGTAGAATAAACATCCCAGCTCACTGCAGGAGGGTGTGCGTCTGAGCGTTCATGTCGGGTGATCACTTTTGTCTTTTTGTGTTTTTCAGTAAATTCATCAACATGATGATGAAACACGGAAACAAGGTCCTGGCCAGAGAGATCTTGACGCAGGTGAGAAAGCAAACACTGTCTCCAGTGAAGCTCAAAGCTTTGCTGTTGGCCTTGTAACATGAGTTACCACCATTTCTCTTTCTGCTTCCAGACCCTGGAGAACCTGAAGAGGAAACAGGTAGAGAAATACCACAAGGCTCCAGAAGGGAAGAAGGAGGAGATCGAGTGCAACCCCTACACCATTTTTCACCAGGCTCTGGAGAACTGTAAGCCAGTCGTTGGGCTGGCCAGCATACAGAAAGGTGGAAAGTACTACCAGGTCAGTGATGAGGCAGATCAGTGCTGTTAGATTGATCTCTTGCACCAACAAAGTCTAATTACATTCTGTTTGAACCCCACCCAGGTGCCCATCCCTCTCTCGGACAACAGACGTCGCTTCCTCGCCATGAAATGGATGATCACGGAGTGCCGGGACAACAAACACCGACGCATGCACATGTATGAAAAACTTTCCCAGGAACTGCTGGCAGCCTCCACGATGGAGGGCAACGTTGTCAAGAAGAAGTATGAGCTGCACAAGATGGCCGAAGCCAACAGAGCCTACGCTCACTACCGCTGGTGGTAGGAAGAAACGGCTCAGGACTGAAACACTGTCAACTCAAACGTTTCTTCAGAGTGACGGCCTGGACAGATTCAGTGACACGTTCTGTTGCTCAAAGCCTGATTGTAAATAGTTAAAGGCGTGAAAATCCTTTTGGTGGAAGGAGTGTGCTGCAAAAATTGCTGTAGGACTACAGTGAAAAATAAAAAGGTAACATTGTGTTACTTTGTATTGTGTACTATAAACATTCATCATTTGTATTAATTAAAACACAACACAAAACAGAATTAAGGAAAAACTTCCAAGATTTATTAGAACAAATACATTTGCATTAAATGTACAACCCAACCATAAAAAATGGTATTGAGTAATGTAAAAATGTTGCAGCAGTGTAATAAAATATATAAACATGTATTGCAGACAGTACTGTGCCCTGTCATTAAGGGACTATTAGTGTCTACAGCTTTCAAGCTGAGTTATTCCTATTTTAACTCTCAGGATGATCGTCTTTAACCTATTTTGCCAGTTTGTTTTGTTGACTTGGTCTGAATGTGGTGACAAATCCCACAGTTTGTATGCAAATCGTTAACGCAGCTAGAAAAAAGGATTTTGGGAGATAAACTTTTTTTTCTCTGAATTGATCGGAGGTTGATTTGTCTGACTGCTGTGAAAGCCAATTTTATATTAAGCTTTACTTATTTACATATTATTACAGGTGCAGCTTTTCAAAATAACGACATTTCAAAAGCAATGTAATATTTGAACCACATGGCGAGTGTCCTATGCGTGTCGGTCTGATTCAAAGGCACAGCTTTGGGTGTAAAGCCGTCACCGAGTGTCAACAAAAGGTAACAACAGACTCACAACGTAAAACGGAGCTCAGCTACATCATGTTTCTAGTGCTGGTGGAAGCTGAATTCAAAAGGAAAAATACTTTTCTATGACTTAATTTACGCTGGTAAGTGACCCGTGTATTTGTGAATAGAGGAAAATAGCTACTCCTCCAGCAGTGGTGGATAGTAACTAGGCATATTTACTCAAGTACTTTACTTAAGCACAATTTTGAGGTACTTGTACAATTTAGAGGGAAATATTGTACTTTCCTTTACAGCAGTACACTTGTTTGATGACTTACTAGCTACTTTGAAGATTCAGATTAATAATCCAAATTATGATTCATTAATAATTCTAATCCAATAATATAACATGATTCTGAAATGAGTCATTCTGCATTAAAACTTCTTTTCCTGTACTTTTATGCTAATACTTTTGTACTTTTACTTAACTCAATTTCCAAGGGCAGGATTTTTACTTGCAATAGTACTTCTATACTGTGGTATTTCTACTTTAACTTAAGTAAATGATCTGTGTACTTCCCCCACCACTGTCCTCCAGCACATCAACTTTTAAATTAAGATTTTAATCCTCGTCGAGTCCCCCATATTGGACGACGCCGTTCTTGTTATTTTGGCACGACTTGTTTAAAAAAAACTTGCAAATAAAATCTGACTTATCTGTAGAAACACAGTTTAAATATGAACTGTAACTAATCTCTTGGTATTTTATTTGAGTTGTAAAAAAAATTAAAAGAAGATCCCTGAATTAAGACAACGCTTCTTCTGACAACTGATCCTCAAATACTGAGAGGCAACAAAACAGTAACAGGAATCCTACAAGACAAGTTAGGCAAAAATTCCTCTGAACTGCAGTTCAAACCTTTTGTAAAAGATCAGTTCTACACTAAAATAATTCTAAGTAATTCAAATATTGGTTTTCAATTAAATTAAAAAGTTGGTCACACAACAATAAAAAAAAAAAAAAAAGTAAAAAAGACCAAATCAGCTTGCTTCTGAATGGAATGTCTGTTTCAAGCCCTTTGGATTTGGTCAAAAGTAATAAGTTGGACTCAAAACAGGAATGCCTGCAAGATTAAAAAAAACCCATAAAAAATATATTCGGCTTCTTTATCTGTAAGCAAACTTTAAAAGAAACTCCTTTTAAACAAAGTGTACCTGAATGTGGCTAAACCTCGTTAACTTAACTTCTTCTCAACTATTGCACGTTCCACCTACACGGCACCACGTCTCGGTAAATATTATCACAAGCAGGGAACAATCCAGCAAAATCAAAGTCTTTTTACAGTTTATGAACCACTATCTTCACAAAACCCTCCGCTGATTTCCTGGAGGATGTCGCTGTCCGACATGAAAATGCTGGTTTTATAATCAGTGGCGACTATGGAGAGTCATCCAAGGTGTTTGACGGCTGGCGAACGCACCTGTATGAAACAGCTGCTCAGCACCCTGCGACAATCCTAGTCGGCAATTTCACTGTAGTAGTACTTGTGGGCAGTGCTGCTGAGCATCCAGCCTCCGGCCCTGAACTCCAGGATCTCCAACAGCAGCAGGCGGGTCATGGAGGTCAGGCCCTCCTGAAGCAGGAAGCCGTCACGCAGCAGGAAGAACAGCTCGTCCATCCGCTGACTGTTTACCTTCTCCAGCTGCTCTCCGATGCGATGCAGCTGCAGCACCAGGCAGTCCACCTGCAGGGGGAGGTGGAGGAGATAAACACAAGTAGTTAGTTTTAATGTAGGCGTACATTAAAAAAAAGTGCTCCTAAATACTTACAGATTTCCTCACATGCATGATATCTACCATAATCAGTTTTGGTTTTTTAAAAGAACAGTACTGTCCATTATCAAGGTAAAGAGTACAAGGTTTAAAAGTTTACAGTTTACCCCTTTAGGTTTATTTAAAACAGATCCAAAAAAAGAATTTAAAGGGAAAAATAATTTATCAAATGAGCTTATAACCATATTAACTGAATATAACAAAAGGAGACATAACTAAACATTCTTTCTCACCTCCTCCTCATTCATCAGAGCATCGGGTTGGGCCAGCCTAATCAGACAGTCAAACACAGGATGGACCAGAGCCACCATCGGCATGTTGTTCACCTAAATGTCAAGACAATCACAGAGAGTGCTTACAGCCACCGACTGTTAAAAAACCTTCATCAAGGCGAGCAAGATGCTGCATTTACACAGCAGCAAGAGAGGCAGTGCACGGTGTCAGGAAATGTACTTCTGCTCCACTGAACACAAGACTGAATCAAAGAGATCACAAGGTAGAACATTCAAGCATTTTACTTTGATCCAGAGCAATTTAACAGTGCTGCTTTCTATTTAAAACTTTATCATAATAACATGATCAAGTTTAAAATGTCTCAATGGATAACTTACTTTGAGGTAGTCGAAGATGTTGCAGATGAACGTGACATAGCACACCCACTCCTGCAGCGAGCGCCCCCTCGTTTCCTCACGGCCCTTGAATTCCTGCTGGAGCCGGTTCAACAAGCTCCTCCTGAACACATTTCCGTTGCTCTGCTTGGCCTCGGCCTGCACGAGGTGACCAAGAGAGGTCAGATAGAAGATGGGAGTATGGACAAAAAGTCAGGATGCATAGCGGTGTGGCTAAGCTGGCTTAAAAGCCTCCTGTTGCTTGAGTGTAAACTACCGGTTAGGCATTAATAAAATAAGAGGATTAAGACTTTGGTTAAAGAGACGCAATCAGGAGTTCTGCTCTTAAATCCATCTGCCGCAATGGTGCTCAATGTCTTCATCAATCCAACTAACATGGACAACAACTAATGTTAAATGGTGATGGACAACCAGCCCATCAAACGGCAAACAGTATGGACCTGCACGATGGTGTAGCAGATGCGTCCAGCCTCTTTGCTGAACACCTGGTCCTTCAAAGACTGATCTACGATGATACTGGATACCTTCTCCAGGTTCACTGAACTTGGATCTGAAAGAAATAAAAAAATACTTACAAAGAGATTGTTTGAGATGTTTGTTATTCACACACAGTGGGTGCTGGGTTGTTTAAGTTCCAGCAACATGCAAATGCAGGTAAGGTAACCTTTCAATGCTGTTTTCAACAACATCTGTGTGTCCAGGTCAAATGACTGGATCCTGTAGTCATCAGTAGAGTTTTCCATTATAGATGGCAGCACCCAAGATCACACCTGAGAGCTGTCCCAGCTGTGAAGATCAGACAATACTTTTTTAAACTAAACATTTATAGTGGTCAAAATATGACTTGTGTTTTCAAAAGAAATGCAAGCTTGTCACAGACAGACCGAGGTTCTGCTTCCAGCCTGGGCACTAACTGCATTACAGACAGAGACCAGAGAACAATTTGTGTGACAACAATAACAGCAAAATCCTGTACTGTCATCAAACTGCTCCCCGCAGCTCATTCACTGAGGGATAGGAGGGATTACATGGGCAAACCCAGGTCAGCCAAAAGGTCACACAATACCCCAAATCAACAGATTTAACACACAAGAACAATCAGATTAATACCAATACATTAGCCATGTACCCATCACAAGTAACGTAACCTACGCTACATGTGTCGTAGACGTTACATCTATCGTTAGCTAAGTTACACCTTAAGTTGGGTAATAACGCTATTTATCGTTGAGTTAATGAGACCAAATGTGGCGTTCACACAGTTTTGCTATCTTGTTGTCAACACATTAATAGCAAACACTGACTATGATGAATTAGCTAGCTTGTGTGCCTCTGCAGAACCCCAACGTTAGCGTTAAGACCAGTTAGCGTCAAGTTTTACACCCAATGTTCACCTACGTTTACATTACAAACGGCCGTCAAGCGAAGGACACGGGTTAAAGTTAATTACATATCAAGTTGGTAGAAAATCCATCTTAAATCACTTACATTTTTTTTAAATGAGCGAAATTTTACTTCAATTCTTGGCATCTAAGCCGTTCATATGCAGACGTTGCTCAGCAGCCTTTAAAGCTGAAGTATCACGGCGAGAAAAGTCCCTCCCTCTCTTCACCTCGCCACAAAAAAACGTAACCGAGAACGAAATAATGGCAATTTACGTCTGTTTCGACCGTAACGACCCTTTTATCGTAGTCACAACGCCTACCTAACCAGTCTGTGATCTAACCATATTTGCGTCAGCCCACAGACTGTATATAAAAAGCCCCATATACTGTATGTTCGTGGTGGAAATTGTTTCCGCTGCGATTTAGCGAGACAGTGAATCATCTTACCGCAATATTTCTGCTTTGAAAGGTGTACGCCCGCTCGATCTGATCCGGAAGTAATATTTGCAATTTCTGGCGTGCAGTTGAAAGCTGGTTTCGTCGTCCTGTGAATGTTAGATTGTACGTGTCGGACTTCAGTACTGTAGCTGTAGTAGTGTTTATGAAGGACTTCCTATAAGGTAAGTGTCTACCTGTGCCCCCGCTGCTGCCATGTGCCTCGGTGCAAAGTGAACAGTTGTGTGTTGTTATCTTATATTAGCTAGTCCCACTGCATGTCCTCAACATGTGCCTGTTAACTTTATCTGGACCTCCTAACGTCACATGTATGCACTGACATAATTTTATTTATTATTTAAGTATCCACAATGTCCATCGAGAAGACAATAAATTCATAAAAGAAATTGTTAATATTGTGTCATAAATGCAACTACTGGGTTAACAAAACACCAGCCAGATCCAGTATGCTGCTTTTACATTTTAAAACAGAAAATCCTATAATTCAGGTCATCAGATTGTCATACTAATATGAACAAATCTGTCAAAACATGCAAAGACTTGTTCTTGTTTGAAAGTAATTAAATATATTTACCTAAGTTAACCTAAGTACAGTTTGGAAGTACAAACACTTCAGTGGAAAGGACCATTCTGAGTACATTTTGTGGCTTAATACTTGGCTTAGGCTGGTGGATAAACAAGACATAACGTATGATTCACTGCCATAGTTTGAGATGCATATATGATGTTTTGATATATGATATATTTTAACCATTTATCTTACAACTTGGATAAAAGCTTTTTATTGAGCTAACATCACAGAACAGATTATTCATAATTTCCGTCTGCAGTGTTAACAGGAATCTGAGGCTGTGCCGACATGGTGGGCTATGACCCCGGGGCTCAGGATGCAGGCCTCGCACCAGAGGAGGCAGCGCTGGCAGGATCAGCTGCTGGGATGGTCACCCGAGCTCTCATAAGCCCCTTTGACGTGCTTAAAATACGATTTCAGGTATGGATTTGTCCATGTATGCTTCTTATAAAATATATTTGTACCAAAGCAAAATACAGTACGTCAGCTGTGACCAGACCATTACAGTACTGATTTTTAAATTAAATATGGTGGTGTTTGCCTGCTGTATGTTTATCAGTGCTTCTTTTCCCCACAGCTACAGATTGAGCGTGTGTCTTCAAAGAGGCCGGAGGGCAAGTACTGGGGATTATTTCAGGCATCCCACTGCATTTATTCAGAGGAGGGACTCTCTGCTTTCTGGAAGGGCCATATTCCTGCACAGCTCCTCTCCATCTGCTTCGGGGCCGTCCAGGTAGAGATAATAAACAGTAACAAACAAGTAAACTTCTCAGAAATATCTATATGACACTATTACCTGTATTTACAAAATTTACTTAATTGTGGTGTGATTTGCAGTTTGCCAGTTTCGAGTTCCTGACTGAGGTGGTCCACAAGATGACGCCATATGACAGCCAGACAGCAGGAGTTCACTTTGTGTGTGGAGGTTTGGCCGCCTGCTCTGCTACAGCGGTCTGCCAGCCTCTGGACACACTGCGGACACGCTTTGCAGCTCAGGGTAACCCCAAGGTAGGACCTGCCGCTGCCCATATACTGTAGCTGTCAGAAAGTTTCTGATAGTAGTCAAGATATTGTCACCTCAGATCATAGTCGTAGTTTTTCTTCTATTTTTTTCTTTATGGATTTGATGAGTGGTGGTGGGATTTTCCTCCGAGCCTTGGTATCGCTTCATTTGCTGATCTCCTACGCTAACAGCAGTTTTTCCCTACACTGGGCTGCAAATAAAGTGTGTAAAGAAAAAGTCTTTTAACCATAGACTGAACCTTCACGTTTTTTTTTTGTTTTTTTTTTTAAAGCTCATCATTGTGTATTGTGTATATTTATCCTTCATTGACAGCAGATATAGTCATTCATAAAAATAATGATAGTCCTATTCTCACTTCTGCATGAACATTCTGTTGCCAACAGGACAATTGATAGAAGAATTATCATTTTCTTACCAATTTAAGACCCTACCTAACCCAATTAGATATAGTATAATTTGGACCTGGTTTGACTCGGGTTCCAGGTCGGGTGGACCCGTGAGGACTCTGGCTGGAATTCAACCAGGGAAGCCACATTTACATGGTATGCAACTTACTCATCAGGGTACTAGGGCACCCTATAGCACCCCCAGTTTGAAGTTTTAACAATCTAAGGAATTATGCTAGAATTAACTAAGCAACTAAAACAGTATATGTTTTCAGAAGCATTATTCAAATGTGCTTCTTTTTGTAATGATCATTTATTTTGGCTGTTGGGAGACGTTATATAGGTATAAACTAAAACTGGGATTGTTGCGTCAGTGGATTGTGCTGCAGGAGGCTGTTTTAGTCCGCACCATCAGACTTATTGCAAGCACCGTCACTGCTGCTGGCTATAGTAGCTCGAAAGCTCATCAAATTTAAGCAAAAACATAGGTTAATCCATCCATTTTCTGCCTCTTATCTGGGTCCTATTCTTATCTACTGCTGGTATGTACTAAAAAAGTGATATAATCTGCTTATCATGGCTGGGCTTTAACTTTGTGAACCCTGCTGAAACCCCGTATTATGCTTCAGGTATACAGGAACCTGCGACACGCTGTGTCTACAATGTGCCGCTCAGAGGGGGTACTGACGTTTTACCGCGGCCTGTCTCCAACACTGCTGGCAGTGTTTCCTTACGCTGGGCTGCAATTCTATACCTACAATATCTTTAAAAAACTGTTGGCTCCACCACCCAAAGCTGGAAAGTCAGGAGGTCAGTGGAGATCAAACTCATTGTCCCGCCCATGGCATTTATTACACTACATCACACACGTGAAGTATTCACAGTTTGAATTCCTGTGACCTTTTATGCCCCCTTCAAGGAGACCTGAGAAGCCTTGTCTGCGGCAGTGGAGCTGGAATCATCAGCAAAACAATGACATACCCCTTCGACCTCTTCAAGAAGAGGCTGCAGGTGGGGGGCTTTGAGGCAGCCAGAGTTCACTTCGGACAGGTAATCTCTTCTACAACATGTCTCGCATTTTTGGAGCACATATTTTGGGCCGAATGTCTAAGTATTATCTCCTGTTTTCCGACATGCAGGTACGGAGTTATAAAGGCCTGGCGGACTGCGTGGTTCACATAGCCAAAGAGGAGGGTGTCCGGGGCTTCTTCAAAGGCCTCTATCCCAGCCTTGTGAAGGCTGCGCTGTCGACAGGCTTCACCTTTTTTTGGTATGAATTTTTCCTCAATGTCATGTATGACCTCAAGGACAGCTGGAGGACAAATGGCCTCACCAAAGAATCAAAGGAAAGATAATGAAGAAAAAAAAAAAACATTATGGCACAATCACGCACATTGGAAATGGACTCACTCCTTGATCTTTGCTTGCACTACAGTAAAATCATTGGGTCCATGTTCATTGGTGGTTTCTGTTGTGTTTACATGTAAGCATAGGAAAACATAAATTTATTTGTTGTCATTACACCTCGTGTTGTACAAGCATTGTTTTTTTTTTAATATGTATTTAATATTTTAGTCTGGGTTAAGGTTTGTATTATAACATTTTATGTTGAAACTGAACTTTGCTCAGACGTTTAATTAATGGGTCATAGCTTTGCCATTGTTGATTCATATTTTCTTGACATTTGGTCAAGTTAAATTGGAAGGATTATTCAGCAAAAATTGCTTTGTGTATGCGTATAGACAAAAACACGAACACTTAAGTGAGCGTAATATTTATTATGTCATGTGCTGTGGTGGGAAAACAGCACCCTTTTAACTATAGGCCAAAGGGGCCACTAATTAAATGTTTACAGTTAGTTTAGGTTGTTGTCACTATAATATCATCTCAGGTCTTTATTTTTTAAAATAAAAGTTATTTTAAACAGACCGAGTTGTGCGTAGTCCATTGACAAGAGGATACGTGGATGATTGTGAATCAATAACAGGAGTCCATGGATTAATGCTGCTTAATGTGTGAATACTATTGTATTTTTAAAGGTAAACCTGTGCAAGTGTCGGCGTGTGACATACAACACATTATTGATTACACAGTAGTATTTAAACGATTAACTATAGTGTAAGTAAGTATGTAGTGTCATCTAGAGGTGTGGACTTCAGTCAAACACACCTGTTTTACTATATTATTTTATTAATGGTCTTTTCATTACATTTGGTTAAAGTGCATAATGACTTTGTTTGGGACTTGACTTGCCTGTATTGACCTGGAACTGGAAATATCACCAAGTTGCTTGTGGAGTCAACTGTGTTATAAAAATATCACAGTTGCATAGTACAACTTGTTTTATAGCCTACCAAGTATTTTATTAGAACGATGACAGAAATGTTCACAGTCTATGACTTAATTATTTACTTTTGTGCAAAAACGAAAGTTTTTACTTAATGTTTGTGTGTTGTACATCTGTATGGATGGTGCTTCTATTCTCAAAAATAGTAACTGCAAGAAATCTTATTCCTTTTAGCAAATATGATGATAGGAAAATGCATAATTTTCAAAATTGATACTGTCACATTCTCTCAATGAAATGAAATCAATAATCTTGATATAACAGGACTTTAATGTTCGCATTACACTGAGTCATTCATGATCAGTATAATCAAAAGGTTATAGGGCTAAATACATCTGATCTGGATTTAGATCTAGTCAAGAGTCTCTGTGTTAGTCCTTAAAAGTAGTATTGTGTCTTTTTACACATTGGAAAGCGAAGCGAGTTTTGAGTGAATGTGTGAAATGTATTTTGTAGCTGTCCCTTGAGCAACTATGAGTTTATTTGCTTTGTTATATTTAATTCCATTCCCATAAACGGTATTAACAAAGACATCTCACACAATGAATAAATACTGCAGAATTTAATTTAATTTAATTTACTGAATACAAAACCCATCAACAGTATGACAAAAAACGGTACAGTTGAAATTAATAAAGCAGCAGAACAACATGCAAACCATAGGACCCAGTCTGTAAAAACTCAACATCAAGCATCGGGCCCAGATAACAAAGAAAACGGAGAACATTTAATTCACTATTATTTAAAAGCAGCCTCGGGAGTCAAAATCATGCGATTACAGAAGTCATTTACAGACATGGTGGCTGAGAGCACTCACTATAACAAACACACACTTGAAAGAGACAGAGAGTCCTGTCCTTTAAAATACACAAGAGCAATTTCATAGCAGCATCATCACTGGATATGATATTCTTTTAAAAGTACTGGCATTTTACCGGTTAAATAATGTTCATACAGTGTATATACAATAATACACAATTACCTGACTGTGAAAACCCTATCACTCAACTGACGCAGCGGCCAACAAGAATCTGTCAAAAAGTCCCAACCACATAAATAGGTACGTCAAACCACAAGCTCCAGTTAACACAGCCAGAGACTCCGATGCTCAAAAGGTAAAGCGGAAATAAAAACAAACTCTGTACATGTAACGTTAATGTGCAGTGACTGAATCTTAACATATCTTGTCAACACACCCTGAGCTTAGATTAAAGTAAAGTGATACTCTGTGGGGAAAAACAATTTCAGGAATGTACTGAATGCTATACTCAGTCTGACTAATATGACTCCATACTGTCTGATGCATGGTGCTGGCTGTCTGTTTTCTGAGGAGGAGAAAAGAATGCGGAGCCTCCAGCGGCTTTTTGTTAGACTCTCAATTGGATGCTCTATACCTTTACACTTTGCAGTACTGTTTGCTGTGGAGATCAGGCTGCCTGTCTGTACCTGTGAAAGCAGTCTGAGAGCTGTTGGCTTTGCTGTAACACCGGCGAGTCTGCTGAGGGGGGCTGGGATCACCAGGACAGTGAGAAGTCTCCTTCACTTCAGCTGGCTGAGGGGGCATTGTGGGATGTGCTGGGCAGGCATCCTCCGCTGATCCACAGGTCGAGGGCGTTCACCAGTGGCACAGCCCTGCTCTCATTCTGGCTGCGGACTGGAGTTCCAGGAGAAAAAGCTGGGCAGTTTGAAGATTGAATCCCTACGGCCCGGATCCGGCAGGGTCAAGGTCTCCGGAGCTGACTTCTTCCTGGGGCGGTCCTTTGGCACTGACAGGAACTCAGGGGCTTCTGTGGAGAGGGGAGTGGACGGGGCACTGTTAGGGCCACTGCGGGTGCTGGATGGCAGGGGGGTCTCTGAGATGGTGATGGCAGGAGGGAAGCTACCAATCTTCAGGTTAGTGGCTTCTTGTGTGGCACGTTCATACTCCCTGACTTCCTCCATGGTCATGTCTGTAGGGATAAAGGCATTGCATCAAATGGATGTTGGTTGACAATGACCCCATAGATGTTAAATAGCTGGGATTCCCTGCCAGTCAGTCAGAACTGAATAAGCCAATTGGATGAGAGGCGAAACTTCTTTGAGTATCTTTAACCAAGTACGATATGCAAAAATAAACAATGGGACTAACGAGCTAAACGTAGGCTAATGGATAAATGGTTGAAAGGTGCAGCTTCTGCTGCACCAAGTGATAGTAGAACAAACGCAAACTTTCATTTTCATTTATTTGTTTATTTGACAGGGACAGTGCTCATTAATTAACAGTAAAATAACTGTAAATGAGCCAGTTAGCTCAACAGGCTAATTTTCATCTGTTGTCCCTGGCCAGTTATTATGAAGGCAATCTAAAATGAAGATTTAAAATGACATAAAATGACTTATTACAGTCCACAAGTAATAGCAATATATACAAAATAGTAATAAGACAGATACAACACACAACAATAAGTAACAAACAACATATCAGCAAACAACATAGGCAAAACATAACGAGAGATTAAAAAGACTGACAAAAGACAATCTACAAACAAGCAACAAATCTCAGTAGGCAGTCAGTAGTCTAATGTGCACATATCTGATTATCAATTAGCCAGTTCTTAAGATGACCAGTAAGAGAACGATAAGTATTTGCCTCTCTTATCAGCATTGGCAATAGATTCCATTGTTTAGATGCTGTTACAGAGAATGCTGACTGACTAAAAGCACTTTTTCGAGTGGGAATGAGACAATCCCCTCTTGTGATACCTCTGGTGACATGAGTGCCTGCTCTCTGCATAACAAATCTCTTCAGTGGAGGTGGGGCAGTGCTATGCAATATCTTATAAACTAGACAAAGGTTACTATAAGTGATCAGGTTTTCCCAACTCAGAAGTCTATGGGTATTTAAGATTTGACAGGTGTGAAAACTATTAGGTTTCTGAACTAAAACTTTGATAGTATGTTTATAAAGACTTTGGAGTGACTTCATTGTGGATTTGTTAGCCTGTGCCCAGCTTGTCAAACAATATGTAAAATGCGGGATAATCATGGCATTCATATATATCATAGCAGTTTCAAAGCTGAGTGATTCCCTAACAAATCTGAAATTACTTAAATTAAATCTAACTCGTTTGCACATACTTTTCACATGAGTTCTAAAAGAGAGATACTTGAGCAAAGCAACCAAACTTTGACAGTTTAATTGTATGAAAAACCTGAAGATACAAAACAAAAACGTTTGGGAAGCAGTTAGAAGGCACATGGACTTGTCATCGACTTGTCATTACATCTCTGTAAAAACCTACGTAAGCCTAGGGATTCTTCAAACAGACAGCTGCATAGCATCAAGCTGTTGTACAAAGAAGGCTCCTACTGTGTGGTTCAAAACCAACATCCATCACATGGCTGAACACAGTTTTGTACGTGTGCTTGTGATTAAGTACATGGTCCCATCTGTGAATCTGTTGTTGCAGTGGCTTCTACAAAGATAATGATAAAACCATTTAGTATTTTAGTAGGTTGCCTCTAGCAAGGTGGTTAAAAAGCAAATAAAATAATGCCTCAGAGGAAAAATGAATCCTCAAACAGTGGAGATGAAACAAAGGTATCCAGTTGAACAAAAATATCCACAAACAAATGAGAGACCCATCTACGTATGTGGCTTCATGAAAACAGACAGCCTCATTCATTTGAAAGATGCTTCACTGTCACAAAATACAAAAAATGCTAGTGTACCAAAAATAAATAGTGTGACAGCAACAGCAAGGAGTTCAAAGGTGTAATAATAAGAACACTTAAATGTGAAGTAACCAGTGAAGACGCAGTTTGTGGCAGATGTGGAAAACTACTGATCTAAGGTATAGCCGGATTTTAACATGAATGTTTATGCAGGCACCACCATGTCAATTCTGGTTCTTACTCCTTGTTCAATTTAATAATAATTCATATTTAAATAGTAGGCTAGTGCTTTTCAGTTTACTCAAAGATGATTGACAACATAAAAATAGCCGTGCTAGACCCTTAAAAGATGCACTATCATTAGCTGTATCAGTTTTATAACACGTTCTATGAGGTATACTCTGTTTTATTGCACTTGCACTTGTGTGTGTACTATTTACTATAATATTTACTATATATCCATTTGTCTGTAGTGGGCAGCAACAATAGGGGATGAGTCAGTGTCTACACACAAACCTAACCCTTGTTTCATGAGCAATGCCATCACTAGTAAACTTACCAATCCACTCGTCCACCCAGGCAAAGGCCTGCCGGTGTCCTAAAAGCAGGACATCACGAATCACCTAAGCAGAAAAAAAGAGAGGAAAAAGAGAAGAGATCCCAGAGGAAAGAAAGGTAAAGAGGGACAGAAGCAAGGAGGAAATTCAAGGAGAGAGGATGTGAATCAGAATGAGTTAACTCTGAAGGCCAAAGAGAGTATCAAAACATTTTTATGTTGTAAATGTTTCCGTTCACCCCTGGAGGAATGTGATTAAAATGAGTCACTCCCAGTCTTATGTGAGTAATGGCCCTGCCTGTGTGTGTGCGCCTTGGGCAAGGAGAGGACAGGGACAGTTCACCCCAGGGACAGATGTGGTAAAGCGAAATGGATTTGGGAAATGGGAGATATGAAGTTTAAACTGTTCAGCCAGGGTAAAGGGAGGTGGTGCAAGGCAATCTGCAGGATGTGAACAGGGCATCTGATTTGGTTCACAGCCAACTGGTCATGTGTTACATGTTTTCGGAACAGAAAATGTGCCTCTGGCACTGGCGCCGGTCCACATGGGTCAGAAAGTTTGAGTGAGTAAGGAAAGGGTATTTCTGAGAGGGCATCCACAACAACTCCCCACAAAAAGAAAATTCACACAAGAACTTTTTGATCCTGACCTTGTGTACAAACTGCTCCACACGCGTTTGCAGGCCCCAGACTTCAAACTTGACTGTGACAAGTTTGTAGGAGCACATGATGGGGTCTTGGTTGTTGATCCATCCTTCCTGCAGGACGCCTCGGTTAGTCTTCTTTGACTTAAAATACCGCAGGTCCTACAAGGTCACGAGACACCGAAATCAGAAAAAAAAAATCCTATGTCATTATTTCTGCATGAACATGTCTGCAAAAAGACAAGACCATAAATCCTCTTAAAGGATTACTTAACTGTTTTTCAACCAATACCTAATTAAAATGTTGTGTCCCATCATTTATCTCTCACACATACACACATACATCCTGTTCCTATATGACAGGATCACCTGCATTCATTACGAGACTCATGCAGAGCAACAGCCAGGCTTCACAGCGTGAGCACCCAACCACAAACGTTTACATGCATCAGTCACTGCTCCCTATAGACTAATGCTGTGGTAATCATTTGTCTTAGGGTCATGCGTCTGGCTGTGAGTGTGTGCCGGGGTGATACAAAACTCTCTACATCCCGGCTGGGAAAGCACCTGCAGTGGAGGCCTGTTGCATTTGTCCGCACATAAAACGTGCCATAAAGTTTATTGGCAGGAAATGTGGGAAAAGATGAGAAATGCTCAAGAGAGCGTGTCCTTTTTAAAATATTGTCAGCATGCCAACTTATATTTTACTTTGATGGCTTCCAGATTTGCTGAACCATTTTCTCTGGAATTAATATACTGGTGTTAAAAGTGATATTTCACTGTGAAAGAGCCTTTACAAATAAATACTGCAGTGTAACTTCTGACATTCATTAAAACATGTTGTTTTTACATTGCAGTTTTTGTATGATTAAACATACAAGATATATGTTTAGTCTGTGAGCTTTAAACATGCCACTATATATAATTTCTTTCCTTGGACAGAGCCAGACTGTTTTCCTCTGTTTCCAGTGTTTGTACTAAGCTAAGCCAACCAGCTGCTGGCTGTATCTTCATATTTAGTGCACAGACATGAGAGTGATATTGATCTAGTCAAGTCAATTTTATTTATATAGCCCAATATCACAAATCAGCCTCAAGGGGCTTTACAATCTGTACCGCATACGAGCCCATCTGATCCTTAAACCCCCGATTAAGATAAGGAACCCCCCCCCCCCCCCCAACAAACCTTTTAACAGGGAAAACATGGAAGAAACCACAGAAAGACCAACAGAGGAGGGATCCCTCTCCCAGGATGGATACGTATCATGATGACAAAGCTATGACAAGATTGTAACATATATGAATAATGGTTCTGGGAAGATATCGAGCATTTTCAGGTGTCGCCAAACAGATGGGATATACTCATCTACCTCTGGAAATAAAATTGTTCCCAAAATGTGGAGCTATTATGCTGATATTGATCAACGGATGTCTTTCCTTTTTTTAATTTGTAAAACACTTTGAGCTGTGTTTTGTGCACAAAAGGTCCTAAATGAATAAAAATCATGATATCATTTTTATTTACTTCTATTTTTTCATAAATGAGTCAGTAAAGAGTATGTTTGCAACCATTGTCTTTTTGAGGTGTTGGACCTCGCTGTTAACTGTGGTTCATTCATGTATGACACTGGTCTCTGTGCTGCAGGTGTGACTCTGGTGTATGCAAAACCCATTTGTGTTCTTCATCAATGATATTTACATCGATCACATGACATCCACCTTTAGCTCTGAGTGGATGAAAGCGGAAGATCATAAAGCCTGGTGGGACGTGTGTATATTAGTGTGTGTGTGAGTGTGTGAAAGTGGAGGTGTCAATAATAAAACACCACTGCAGTGACATCATGACCCCTCTTGATTATTAATAGCTCCGCTTTTTATCACAATCACACCCTGACAGATGGGCATTCACGCACACACACATACAAATGTCAAATCAGCAAAAGCTAATGTCCATCACCTCCCCCATACATAAACATGCATGTCCCTCGCTTCCATTACTCTGAAGAGGCAGATGGCCAGCTGGTGGTCCAAAATAAGCTGGTAGAGAAAGATAACACACTGTTCTGTTTATCTGCTCACACGCCATCCCTTCTCTTCATTCCTCATTTGTTGACTTTTCTTCTCTCGCCTTGTTCTTCTCTGTTTATCTCCATATTCTCTCCTCTGTTCTCGCTCATTTCTACCTTCCTCTATATCTACCACTGGGGCATGTACATGTAATTATTCACTCTGTGCTCCACTACACACATATAATCATGAGCGTATCCTGAGGTCAGTGACCTGACTTCCCTCACCTCTGACTCCTTGTAATGCCGTTCGGGGATCTCATCATAGGCGATGTCCACGAACCACACCTCCGTTTCCTCGTCTCTGGACTCGCTGCCAAAGATCTGAGGAACAGTGAACAGCTCTATGTGTGAGGAGGACAGCCAAATCAATAATGCACTTTAGTGGTTGACAAATGGTGTGGGACGGTATGCTGTGATTTTCCCGGTTACTTGATACGGCAGTGATGGGGCTGGAAGTGTGTGTGAAGCTGAAAGGACAATATTTGACACGAAAGCAGAGGTTCAAAGAGGCTAGGCAGGTTTGACAATAAGATAATGTTCTGTTGGTCTTAAAAGTACAGAGCACAGAAGACATGATGAGCACCTTCCTTCCTTCTGGCTTTACCTTCAGACAATACATTAAATAAACTGTGAGGATGACTGTGATTCACGCAGTCAGTGACACACCAAGGTGCCTGTGATTTCTTCCTGTGTCTGACTCACACAGGAAAAGCAAAGCAATGTTGGCTAGTTATCCGCTCCTTTTCAGAACAATGTCTCCTGCGTCAGAGGTTTGATCGCACCTTCTGTATACTTCAAATCTTTGTACCGGTGAGGCAGAAGGAAGAAATAGGCATGAAAAGGTTATTAAAAGAGATGAGGGAGAAGAATAGAGGATGAAAAACAAGAGTCTGCACAAATGGTGAAGAAGTGGGGGATGTAAAATTGAGAGCAGAATGAGCAAACACTTTAACTCGTCTGCACTCACTACTTAAAATCCACACGTTTACGATCAGTTTCAGTCTCTGAAACCGTCATAATGGTTTTGCAGCTCTTATGAGCCCCCACTAAGTGGAGCTGCTGCCTTTCAGTTTTCAGCCACAGTAGGGATCGAGGCAGTATTGCATAACCTTCAGACTTGCAGCTACTGCCACCAAAGTGTTAAGTGGTATCAAAAGAGAGGTGGAGAGCGAGCTTTACACGGCAATGAAAGAATCAACAAGACCAAGAGTAGCTTGTCATGTTGCTGTAGGAGAAAGTCAACATTTACTTTTTCTTAAACAATAGTTTTATTATTGTTATTTGCTATATTACCATGCTTTCGATATATGTACTGGGCTTTGGCAACAATGTTTCATAACTTTCAAACCAATAACATTCATTAAATAAAACTGAACTGAACAGGGTTGCTTGTGTGAGATATCAATGTCAGGCAAATGAATCTGGCTACTCAAGAGCAGTAAATAATAATGTTACCCAAAGAGTTGATTGTGCTGTGTGTAAAAACTCAGTTATCTAACCTTCACTTAATAAAAAGACTGCATTATGAACAAAATCTCACAATTAAATGGTGGACAATGATGCATTAATCCTCTGACAAAGATAATTCACCAGTTCAGATTTGGAAGCTTTGAAGTGAAAAGATCTGTGAGAATATAGGAAGATGGGAAGAAAAGGCAATAACAGACAGCAGGTGTGCAACAGGGGACTGGCAACGGTACAAGAAATGAGATTGTGTGAGAAAAAAAAGCAAACCTGAAATATGCTGCTAAGCCATGTTTCCTCTTTCTTTGTCAGATCTACCCATACAATACACTCCCAACCACACGACACCCCGAACTCTACTCACATTATCATTGCTGCCTTTGTTGTCCTCGTATTTGGATTCTATGTGGATGGAAAACTTGGGCAGGAAGGAGCACTGGAGGGGATAGAAAAGACAAGCCAGTGAGAAATTGATATGCACAGTGATAACTATGTTGGATGATAATTACATAGCTTAGTTTTCAGAATGTAGAAGAATTCCTGTCAACTGATCCACAGCATGAGACGTGAGACTAATTGTGTCTCTGCGTCTGTGTTTTATCTTCCAAACCAGATGAGCCATAATGATTATTCTCTCTTGCTGTTTAGATTTACAACTGCACCACACAAGCTGCCTTCCTCCTTGAGCACTACACACACGCACACACTTTGTTGTCTTTGGCCTTGTTGACTGCTGTTCAGCAGCTCTTAAACACAGCAGTTTGATTAGATAAAAGCTTAACGCTTAGAGTTATTATGCAACCAAAGAGTGGATGATTGATTACATGAGCAGTTGATGTACAAGACAGTGTGTGTGTGTGTGTGTGTGTGTGTGTGTGTGTGTGTGTGTGTGTGTGTGTGTGTGTGTTTATGTACGGCATAACAGGACAGAGACAGTACGACGAACGAGACTATTGAAAATAAGAAAAGATATATAAAGGGAGGGTGCGCATTGTAACTGTAATGATTGTGCACAGTGCAGTAAGCCAGTACTGGCCTTGCGAGTTTTAGAAGGCAACAACAAGAACACATAAACCTTCATCCTGGAGATGACAATGTCATTCACAGTAGACTGACTTTTTACTGAGCTTTTAATAGACATATTTATTTCCTCACCATATTTCTTATCATCCAAAGAATCTTCACGAGTGTACACCTCACAAACCTCATGGACTGATGCACACACACACTTCTCATAGTGTGTTTATGTGAAGTGGTTAATTCCATTAATCTGTTATCATTTGCTTTAGCTTTTCTTACAAAAGTTGACGAATGAATTTCTTCTCATGCAGACACTGAAAACTGAAACTCGACGAATGCTGTGTCCCAAATTTCTCTTTTGTACTTACACTCGGAGTATGTTCACACTGATAATTATGCCAACATGCAGTGCACTATGAGTACCCAGATGGTGTACTCATAACAGTCAAAAAGTTGGGTACGGAACGCTGAACACTTCTCACTTCTCACTTCTCACCCTCCATGGTCGCCATCATCCACAATAAGCGTCACCATCCTGTTGTCGGATAGAAGCCATCACTATGTTTACTGTGTATATTTGGGGTTAATGCTGGTTGTAATTCACCATTACAAAGAAGAAGAAGAAATGGTCAAATGTTGCCATCGTCATTTTTGTTAAGTGCACAACACTATCAAAACACTGTCAAAATTCACATACTACGCAAGTAAGTACATAGTGTACACAGTATACTATATGGAAGTGTAGTAACAGAAGTATCCGTAATGAGAAACAGCATTAGAGTCTAAAGCCACTCTAGCGACTAACATGCTCACAATGACAAAGCCTGACAAAACCAAAACATGCCATTGTTACGCAGGTATTATGTTAACCATGTTTATTATCTTAGTTTAGAGCATGCTAACATTAGTTAATTATCACTAAACACAAAGTGTTGAGACTGATAGGACTGTCATTTATTTTGCAGGTATTTGGTCATAAATATAAGTATTAGACAAATAAAACATTTATATCTGATGGTGGTGCTAACAGAAAAAGTCAGATTACAATTCACCCTGAGGAAGGACCTGAGCGTGTGTACCAAATTTCATGGGAATCTATAAATTAGTTTTTAAAAGCCACGTGCTGGTGGTGGGGTGTCAATGCAATCTAAATATGAAATGACTTTGTAACATAACTATTTTGAATCACAAAGTCACTGTCATTGCCGCTGCCAATCATTATCCTCCAATTTTGCATCATCACCACCCACCTTGGGCTAATCATAATAAAACATATCCAACCTTAATCAGTCCCATGAGGCAGCGTGATTACAAAAGCACCATCAACACAGACTATAAACATGTTTGTTTAACTTGTAAGTGGGCTGCTGTCTTGTTAGAGGCTTTGTAAACCTACAGCATAGAGTTACAGAAAAAGTAACTCATACACTTTCAGATCAGCTGGCAAGACCTTCCTCAAACCTCCAGATGTTCCATGTATCTGTACAGGCTCCGGGGAAAAGAGCAGCCTGCTGCTGATGTTATTTGTGCTTCATTGATGTTTCCTTGCTTAGACATAAGGTGGGCAGGCGAATGTTCCTCCAGTGTCCCAATGCTAATCATTAGTGCCTTTTCTCAGCTACACTCAATTAACCATTTATACCACTGAGAGCTGTGGGGGTTCTTAATGTTTATAAGGGGAAATCTGTTTGATTAGTTGATATTGACAGGCGGACTGGTGCAGCTGTGACTCAGGCATTATATCAGACAATTGGTTCATCTATTCATCTATGGTCAGGAGCTTTAGAGTAGTAAATGAAAAAATTTGATTTCAGAGAGAAGCGGCAGAAATTTGATTAATTTGCAGGGTGTCTGGGTTCACCCTTAGGGACATGGTGAGGAGCTTAGATATCCAGAAGGAGCTTAGAGTAGAGCTGTTGATCAGGATTCTGATCAGGATTCATGTCTCTCTACAGAGGTATATCCAACTGGGAGGTGACCCCAGGGTCATTACATAGACTGCTTGGCCTGCGAACACTTTGAGATTCCCAAGCAGAAAAACATCAGGGTTCCTGCTGCCACCATGACTCTGACCCAGAGAAGCAGTGGAAAATTAATGAATGAATAGTTGATGCTGATTACTACTCTTGCACATAACAATGTACAACACAAAATAATCATAAAGTCAAAAGGAAAAACAAAATGCAAAATTAGGAGAAATATACAATATAAAATCTTCTGTTTGGATTTAATGGAGACTCCAGATTGCCCTGTTTTGTTTGACTGGTGTGAAATTACATATTTCAAATGGTTGTAGTTAAACGTCACTATGGAAAACGCTCAAATCTCAGACAAGATGGCGTTTCTGTTTCTGGATTAGACTTCATTTGCTGTGAGCACAATCTGATGAATGAAAGACTAATAATAGGCAGAATGTCACAAACGTGCACAAGTCTCTCTCTATATATATGTCTCACACACACACACACACACACACACTAGTTGTGTAAATCACAATTTAACTCATGAAGCGATACTTTCACAATATGTTGCCCATGACAATGATGATAGGTAGTTCGTTAACAGGCATGGCTGAGGTAGTATTTGGCTCTAGGGCTATTAAGTTGGGTGCTATTTCAGAGCAAGCAGTGTTGTCCGAACAGGGACATTGTGTGTTACAAGATAAACATACAAGGCAGTTGTGTATGATATAAAATTTCAAAAGTAGTCATCAGTTATATACTCATATCCTGATTATGACTATTAATGAAATGCATTTTATGTAACTTAATTCTCATAGGGTTTTATGAACCTCTGATATGTATCATTATAAACAGTATTAAACTACATGCAAACACACAGCAACATAAACACACAAATGCCATCATTCAAATGTCAACCAGCCATTAACTGGCAAAAGAATGAACTGCCAGGAAGCCGAACATTTCCAGGAGAGAAAAAAAATCAAAGAAGGAAACAGCTAATGTGATATTAGGGCTACACTAGTTTGTTGATGCATGGCTAATACAAATACAGATGTGACAGATGGTACAGAAAGACATTTATATGTCACGGTTCAAGTGAATTTCTTTTGGAAACTGGATTTTGTCAGATGAGGCACCTTATGCATATTTGCCATCCTGTGCCACTCTCACCTTTAACCTCTACCGCTGACTTACATGTCAGCTTTTGCATAAATGTATGTGTGATTTTGTGTGTGATTTTGTGTGTGCATGTGCGCGAACACACTGAAACTACTCACTGTGTACTCTGATCATAGTTCCAGCGGTGGCCATCAGTATAATGGACAGTGAGATGTGATGGGGAGAGAAAAGTAGAAGACAGCAAAGGAATCAGTCAGTATTACAGAGATAAGAAGAGAACAGACGAGAAAAACTTATTTAGTTCACAATGGAAAAAAGGCCATTAAGCTTCAGCAACATCACTTCAGTCCCAGCAAACACGCATTTATGGAGTCCATTTGGCCATGACACAGTCCGATTTTTTAAATCTATGTGACAGTGATGTTTGTCACATGGACATACTTTCCATACAGACAAGCTGCATGTCCCTCTGCATGCTGCAGTGCTCACAGTTATTGAAAGTTCAACAATACCATGAAGCAATGTGTCATCTGCAGACTGATAGTAGTTCATTATTTACAGTTTTTTTTACAATTGGTAACACATTTCTCAATCCTGAGTTCACTTTATCAAAAGTCTTCACAGTCAGCACAAAAGAAGTCACCGTGGGCTAAACTGTGGAAGTCTTTCAATGGCTTCGACACAAAATGTATTCAATGACCACATCTTTCGAAATTCATGAACTGTTTATTCATTTCAACTCCACCATCACAACTGTATTTACACTCTATTTTGGACATTATTGCATACTATTGTTCAGAACCTAACATAACACTAAATGTATGTAAATTATACTGGCATTTGCTACATCTAAAAATAAAAACAGAGAAGAACAACCAGAGCTTGTTCCCATTTTAGCAGCGCACCTACTCAGGCGATTATGCTTTTCGCCGTCATGCCACATATGTACTGTAAAAGGGCAAATCTTTGGAATGAGTTTTTGTCAGTAAACATGTACCCAGCCAGACACAGAGGGAGACTCTATAGAGGGTCCTCAACCCCACAACTTTCCACCTTCCTCATGGCAGTAGAAGGTTTATGACCACCAGCCACATTATCCAATATCCCTCGTGGATGTAATGAATGTTCTGTTACGAATGTTGTACGAATCTGCCAGGGATGCATCAGGCATGCAAAGAGATGCTTTCCAAGACAGAACATGAGGAGTGATGTGGGTGAGAACTATACCGTTTATAGCTGTTGCTATTGTATCTATAGTGAATTCATACAATTTGTTTTGCATTACTAGAGTGACTTTAGGAAATGAAGCCAACTGAAGCATTTCTGATTAATTTCACTATAAGGTAGTCCAACCCCTGTAGTAAAGAGGTGCAATTATTTATAAATAAATAACACAATATTAAATAAAGGCTGCTTAAGACATTAGTAATATATATTCTAATGCTACCGATTGTTAGTGTTGTTTTAGTTCATTGTGTTATGAGCAGATAAAAATGTTGTCAGTGTTCTGGTACAAGAGCTGTTTCTGACAACTGTGTCAAGTGTTTAACTCTTGTGCTGAGCTGCATGTCGGTAAAGAGAACTGTGTGAACAGTTTTAAAAAAGGGAACTCAGTACAGAGAAACGTGTGTTACCAATTGATAAAAACTGTACAGCAGTTATGCTTCGGCTAAAAGTTTAACACTTTCAAAAGTTGTCAACAGGCTGTATGTACATCCAAACAGGAATCCATCTACACAACATATTGGATGACATAAACGAAAGAGCTGTCTGGCACATTCACAAATACTGTCACTATGTTTGTGTCAGGTTTGTTGTGAAACCTTCAAACCTCAAGGATATTTCATCCTGGCATTGCCAGATGATAAAAACACCACTTAAAGTGTCAGGTTTATTCGGTGTGCCACAATATCGTATGAATAGCTGCAGATCACAGGTTCACTTATATCTTATGTAACACGTCACACAAACCTTTGACAGTATGATTGGTGTAGTAGTACACTGGCACAAATAGGAAGCTGTTATTTTTGTGTGCAGGGTTCATGTCATACTTAAGTAGTCATTACAAAGCACTGTGAATTAATGTGTCCTTTTTAAATGTACCAGCAATAAAAAAAGTGCAATCAAAGCACCGGGTGAGGGTGTTTTAAACTTGAGTTTATGTTTAGCCTCACACTCTTAATCTTCCAGTTAAATCTGCCTGTCCTCTCCCCATCACCTGACTTCTGTCTCGCCGTCCCTCCCTCCCCTCTGCTCATTGTGCACTGTGTTGGACAGAATGTTGCTTCCATATCCTTTTGCCCTTCCAATGATCCCATGTAATTGCAGTCAGCAGGTGAACAGAGCTATGTTTGCAGAGAGCTACAGAAAATGGCTTTGCGTGTGTGTTGTTCTAGTACAGATAAGCAGTAAGCCATCCTATTACAGGGGGAGATTCTTATTAAAAGAGATGTTTGCTGTCTACGCTTTTAAACCAATGTTAATTTTTGTAACATTATATAATGTTCCATAGGTGAAAACAGCGGGACAAATGAGTGTACATTGGAAAAAAAAGCACAAAGATGTGTAATTAAAGCATTACCTGTGATAGTGTACGGGTAATAGTTCCAAGCCTTCTCTGTGACATAGAAAATTTTAGGGACCACTGCTCTGGCCCAACTGGGCAGCTTGCTGAAACACAAAGAAAGAAGAGTGGATGGATTTGTAAACTGAAGAAGAACAAGAACAAGACAGATGAGACAAATAGCTTGTGTGCTGTACAGTCAAAGTAGTCCCCTCTTAAAGTTGCTTCACTCCTTCGGCCCTATGACCCAGAAAAAGGCAATGACAAGCATCCAGCTGTGTGAGGCCATGATGACCCCTGGGGAAGTTGATTACACTGATTAAACCCTGCACCCCACAGTGGAGTTTTACCAAAGCTTGCACGGTGATAGATACAGAGAGGGAAATGGAGGGTGGAAAGTGCAGAGAACTAGCTATTACTCAGCACAAATGGATTCTAAATGCTGACAGTTACGGCCAAGTAGCTGAGCACCTTATTGGGCGCCCAATCAAAATGCAAATGATTACTGAGGAGGGTGAACAACAGGGGCCAAACCAAAGTTAGCTGGAGGGGAAATTGCCAAGCCACATATTTTAAAAATGCATGAATTGAGAGGCAAATATGAGAGATTTTCCTTTTGAAACGTTGACACTTATACAGACTTATACAGAGAAAAAGTAAGTGCAGACTGCCTCATTACTGAGTCCTGAACAGACCAAGCCAAATCCCATTTGATCCAGATTTCTGCAAACTGAATATCAGCCAATCAAGCCAGGCAAATGCCCCCATAATTAGACAAAAAGTCATCATTTAGTTGCACCACATTTCACTTTCTGAGTAATTCACTTTTAAATCAGCTTTTGATTATATTCACTCCCACTTTATCACCCTCTTCCCTTGTTATTCCTGCATGCAGCAGCGGTAATAGAATGTGGAGATTATACTGAGAGTATGTATGGACCACTGGGACATGAGACGGACGGCTCCCTCTGGTCTCTCTCCAATGGACTGTCAAACAGCCAGGGGAATGTCCACACACAGCAGACTGGTCACATGTCCTCACACTGCCTTAAATACAAGTCCCCACCCACACACACACACACACACACACACAAACTGTAGCTATAACATGGTAACAGGTGGTTTGTGGGTGGAGAGAAGCAGGCACGACGTCCGACAGTGACTGCTCAAATTATCCATCACTTACACTGAACTCATCTCTCTCTGCCCCCCCCCACCCCACACACACACACCCACACCCACACCAGCCTAAACCCTCCTCTCCTCTGAGTTTGTCAATGACACTTCACATTTCCCAAAGGCCCACTTACTTGTCAATTCTGACCACAGAACCTCACCCTCTCTGCTTCTCATTTCTCCATTTAGCTCTCTGTTCGTCTATGTCTCATTGTCTTACTTTTGGGGAATGAGCGGCCTAGTCATCTATGGCAGTACTTGATTCCGCTCAATGCGGACTTTATCTTAACATACCAAAATAAGCCATAATCATTCTTCAGTTTGAGAATTACAAACTAGATCAGTGGAGTAAATGGCGCACCAAAGGGCCTGTTATTATAAGGATGGTTACATTATTGCTCTATACCCCATCATAGCTCAGTTCAGAAGGAGTTATTAGTAATGTATGGGGACAAAGTGTTAAATCAGAGAAAGAAACTATGACATAATATAGATATTATTGTGTTACAGGAATTAAAAGCCTCCTATTTTGTCTCTTGTGTTGTTTTTCATATTAGCATAATAGCTTAGCCACTGCTGTTTGTTGTAAATTTTCTGTCTGACAGCATGATAGTCCTGGAAACAATGCAGTAAGATTTGAGAGTTTGAACTTGATGTATGAGTTGTTGGATTCATCATGCCCTGCTGGACTAAACTGTGAAACCCTTCGCGAATTTAAGTCTAAATGTCCACGTGTCTCACCTTGGTTCAGTTGTCCATGTCCAGGGCTGGACTGGTAATCTGGCATGCCGGGCAAATGCCCGGTATAACGTAAAATATTTATTTAACTGTAAAAAAAAAAAATGGGCCAACGATTGGCCCATAAAGCATGGACAGCGGCCCATTGATTAATTTTCTATACTGACATTGGGCTGGCCCAATCACATCTCTTACTAGCCCCCACCCCCTCTTCAGAGGAGGCCGCCAAATGGGCGAAAATAACCGATATGTTTGCTACCGGGGCTGAAGTAGTAGCTTCAACGTCAGCTGCAGTACCCTGTGTAGTGCAGGCACTTGAAGGAGTAAAAGAGCAGTGGTGGCCACTGACAGGCAGAAGAGGAGGCGTGTGATAGCAAAACAGAGTGACAAAGTGACAGTGCCGAGAGAGAGAGCAGGAGGAGAGTGGAGGTGAAGTGATAAGCACGGAATAGCTCAGCCTGTAGGGAGGGGGCAGGGAGGGAGGGTAATTTTCACTGGGGACGCTGGGGTCATGTAGCCACCACTTTTTGAAAGCATTTGTTAAGCAAGTAATAATAATAACAATAATAAGCTAATGATTACTGCATTATATTTTACTATATTTTTACATTGTGAATTGTCACCTGCTACCTGAATTTTGTGCTTCCCTTTATAAAAATGAAGACATTTCCACCACAAATTGGTGCAGAAAATGTCTCCTGAATGCAGGAAATTAAATGTTTAATGCTCAAAATAATAATAAATAGTAGGTCAATTAAAATATATTCTTGTCTTGTAGTCATGGACACCAATCTAGTGCAATGTCACGTCTCATGTCATGTGTTTCATCACACCCCTAATCTGACCCCCTAAATGGAACAATGGTGTATTGGTGAGGGGTGTCCGACCAATTTTGGTGGGCCGCCTCAGCCAAGCACGTTCCTTGCACGAACAAGATATGGAATCTACTGCTACTAGTCTGTTAAATCGATAATGTCTCACAGCTTTGAAATTCTCCAACTCATCCATTTTGTTTGTCTACATCAAATCATTTGCGATTGTAGATTTAATAAGGGAAATCAATGAGGCTGCTGTCCAGGCATTCAGTCATTCCTTCCTCATCAGTGTACTCAATGAAAAGTCCACATATCTGTAATATTTTGTACGTAATATTTTACATATTTCTATAATATTATAAAATATTTCATATTTTTTGTGTGTTGACGGGGTCACATCCAGAGCAAATTCACAAATGAGAGCCAGGAGACCACACGTCAGACCGCACACAGCTGCTAATTCAATTCTAATCTACATAACAGAAAACAAAATACTCAATTTCATGCTTATCAAGTTTAACAGAGCACAGGGGCAGCTCTGAGCTGGAAAACAGGCTTGGAGTGAGATGAAAAGGGACACCTAAATACATTTTTCCCTTACTCACTCTGGAAACAGTGATGCTTAGTGCAGCTTGCAAAGTCTTATGATCTTTGAAAAGTGAATATGTGAATATGTGGCTATATATACACTCAACTATTTATTTTTATTTTTATAAGACAGCCAACAGATGATGACTTAAATGCATCGTTACACATCTAACCAATGGCTAATCTTTGTCTTAACACCAAGGACTGCAGCAACAATGAGTGTCAGTGACAGCTATGCAGTGAAAAAACATCACATCATCTTTTCTTTGTCACCTCTCTCCTGACAGCTTTAATCAGCAGCAGCCTAATGAGGCGGCCTGTGATGGAAGGCTGAGGATTGTTAGTGTGAGATGAAATATTAGAAGAATATCAAGTCCTCAGCAGAATTATGTGGGATTTGACGTCACAAATTTATACACATTGTAAATGATTTATTTAATTACATACATACATAGCACGTGGAAGGCACTCACTTGTTAAGGTAGATTCGTTTCTCGGTGAACTGGCCTGATCCGTGCTCAGGGTCCTCGTACGGCTCATTCTGGACCACCTCCACCCCCTCCCCACGTTCACTCTGTTCATGACTGTGTTTACTGATCATATACAGCTGGCCAATCCGGTACTGAAAGACAGACAAACAGGTGACAAACAAAGAAACATGATATTAGATCAATTGTTTTATATGACTTTTGGAGACAAAAAGTTAGGAGAAGAAGGCCATCCTGAAACATTAACATTGTTATAACAGCAAACATCTGGAGTACAATTCCGATGAAGCCACTCTTTGAATGGAAACAATGCGCTCTTGCTTGAAATTCAACAATTGACTCAACAGTATAATTTTATAGCGGCCATAAAAATAAATGCAGAAGGGAAAATACCAGGATTACAGCTCTCACTGCATGGTCCTGACACCTGGGCACAGCCGTCATAACAAAAGAAAGCTGGGGATTAGGAGCTGTCAGCAGTATAATGACAAAGGCCTCATATCAGGTCAGGACCAAGCAGCACAACAATAGTAACGACAGCAGCAGTAGCCAGTTAGGTGACCACAGGACCTTGTGGCACATCTGCCAACATCCACATCTTTCACTCATCACTGACTGACCCACTTGGCCTGATGACAATGTCACTTTTGGTCGCCTTGACAGGCTGGACTGGGACTGAGGCGTCACACGGAAACTATTTTCCATACATTTGGAAAACGACAAGCGTTGGAGTAAGGGTGCTCCAGGACGGAGATTTCCGACTGCTCGTAAGCCTATTTCCGGGCCGAGGAAATCAATCTGGCTGAGATGGTGACTTATGTCGTTCTGCTGGAATGCCAAGGGTTCATTTAGGACTCTGACTGCCACACACACACACACACAAACAAACAGAACTCCAACCAAGGATAGCTGTGTTAAGCTAACGGAAAAAGGGCAAGGACTGCCTGGGATGTTAACTTGTGACTCTACATCTAGCCACAAAAAGCAAGGAATGGAGAGGAGAGATATGTGATAGTGTAGTAGGAAAAAAGCAGAGCCACTGAGTTACCAGTAAACAAGCCCAGGGTGTAAGTTCTTATATCACAATGTCAAATGTTTCCATCTGCCAACCATGAGCAAGGCAGGGAGTGAGACAGAGTATTCCCAGCTAGAATTTTGATGGCGGTGTGTTTCTAAATGAACAGCTGTTGGAGTTTAGCATAATTTTTTCCACCGCAATGACACCGTCACAGGCCAGGCGTAATAAAAGAGCAACCTTTATTTAGTCACACACAAACGCACATGACAGACATACATAGCACACGGACAGTGAATCCGTCAGAATGATTTATGCATACAACAACCAGGAAAGAAATTCTAAGGATGAATGGATAATGGCTTAATCTCTACAGTAACTCAAAGCCCCTCAAATCATTATTTCTGTGTTACTAATGAATCAAATGATTACCTGTAGGGGTAAATGGGTCAAACTGATGAACCAACAGAGAATTATCGCTCAACTCTGAGTAGGGCTGCCCCCTAATAGTCGACTTAACCGTTAGTTAATCAGAAGATTTAACCGACTTCAAAATCATTACCGCTTGTTGTTAACATGCGGGGTACTTCATGCCACTTGTAAATGTATATTTTGAAGCCTCCTCAGTACAGTTTTGTAATTATTTGCACAGTGTTAACTAATTCAACTAAAATAATAAACATGCGACGAGTGGATAATGGCTTGAACAAACGACTAGTCGAGCAGGAAAATCTTTAGTCGGGGGAAGCCCTAAGTCTGAGGTCCTTCTCAGCTCTACAAAGTGTTTCAGTACATTAAATAAAAATTTTGTTTTACATGGATTTTGGTTTTGTCTCACCGGTGTCATTTTCAGAGGCAAATTGACTGTACACTTCCTGCTCAGCACCAAACAGCAGATAGACAATGTTAGTGATTAGCTGGTGAACATAGCGGAGTATTAAGCAGCTAAAGAGACAGGTATTTCCTTCAGGAGTTGGATATTTGTCACGGGGACACAAAAAGGACTCTAAATAAATACTAAAGTTGCTCCGTGTCTACTGGATGTGTAAATAAGCCACTGTTTGATATCATCTCCAGCAAAATCCTCATATCAACTATAGGGCGGTAATACGTCGAGGTTGTGTTTACAGCTTGTTGTGCTGCCCCCGAGGGGCCACAAATGGATCATGTTGGGTTCAATAAAATCATCAATAACCCCTTTTCCACTGCATAGTACCAGCTCGACTCGACTTGCCTTTGCTTGGTTTCCCATTGTGGAAAAGTTGTACCTGTACCTGCTAACAGATACTTTTTTTCGTATCACCTCCGTTGAGGTTCCAAGCGAGCTGAGGTGATACTAAAATGTGACGTGAAAACACAGCAGACTACTGATTGGTCAGAGAGAATCGTCACATTTCACTGCATCATCATTGCGGGCGCCTGACAGAGGGCAGCAACAGAAAGTTTTATATTTTACAGTTTTCTTATGTAATTTCATCACTAAATCCACTTCTGACAAGTTTTGAGGTGAGAAATCAACTGTGCAGATTTTGAATATTGACCTGCGGCAACCCGCGGTAGGAGCTTTTGAGGCCGGCCAGCCGCCCGCTCACAGGGCCCTCTGGTCCCACCGTCACACAGACCACTGCAGCAACAACGGCAGAGGAAAACACAGCTGGAAGGTTTTCATACCGCTTATCTGTGTTTACATTCTGAGTAATGTTGAAACTTTTTAACTTAAATCAAGAGACAGCTGTATGTGGGTCGCTGGTGTGTGTGTTGCATTGAAAATTACGTTGCGGCGACCAGCTACATTGACGGGTACTATCTCTGGGTACTATCTGTAATGCAAAATGGAGCACGGCCAAACCGAGTCGAGTAGAGTCAAGTCGAGTTGAGTCGAGTTGAGCTGGTACTGGTAATGGAAAAGCACCAAATGTAATCTGAGTAAAGCTGCAATAGAATTTAATATGTATGAGGAGATGCACAAGGGGAATAGCCTCAAAAATCATGCTAACACATGCCAAATACGTTGTATAAAAAAAAATGACAGAAAGGAATAGCAGTCACAAGGTGAAACCAACCACAAGGCACATACTAAGCACATAGCAGAATACAGCAGTTTCAAAAAAGCGGCTAATGACCGAAAAACAACTAAGACTTTGTCACTGTGTTCGCAAAAGTGAGTTAGTTATTTCAAAGAAAAAAAGAGGACAGAGGGTTGAACGCCATACACAAATCTCCCTGCGAGATGAAAAGCATCAAGGCAGAGTACTCGCTCGAGAGGACCTCTGAGTGCCACTCTGATCATATTGATGGCTAGCAACATTAATGTATTAACATTAAGCACCATCTTTCCTGTTTCCATGTGCTTACTCAGAGTTCAGATACACTGTGTAAACACACAAACACAAGGTTCTTCCTACCTGCCATTGTATTCAGCCCCTGTCTGCTGTCCTCAGAGCCCCTGAGAGCTGCAGCTGATGAATGAAAGGCTGTTTTCATTGTTGTCTTTGTAAATCAGGCTCTAATGACTAGGAGAGAGAAGTGGCCTTTGCTCAGGTTAGAGGGGCCATGGATGAGCTCTTTGTACCTCTCTTTCTCTAAAGATAATAGAGCCATTGGGCAGGATCAGGGGCTGATAGCAAAGAGAAAAGATGCTGGATCACAAGCTCAGGTGTATAATTTCTCTTCCACCTGTCAGTTGATTTATCTTCTTACCTTCGCACTCGCTCCCTAGACGCTATTTCCTTCTTTTTTGCTTCTTTTTCTCCTCACCCCACCTCTACATTTCTGCCTCATTTCAACCTGTGAACTCCATCTCTCACTCTCTGCCACCAACCTTTCAAATAGCTCATTATGTTAAAGCCACACACAGTTTAGTCATCTTCAGCGCTCAGTTGTTGCCTTCTGCCATATCCTCTTTACACAAGTGTATTGCAGAGTATCATGACCCACGGAGCCCCTTCTATTGCCAGTTATTACATGAGTTTGAGAACTAGAATATCACTTTTAAGAGGGAGACTGGCAGGGCGAGCTGACCTGTGGAAAATCATGAAACCAAAAAAACATCTTGATATTGGTCCCTCTACTTCCTTTCTTTCAATACCTCTGTTTTCACACCACAAATTCCTCAATATTACATAGTAACGAGTGCACACAGACAGCTGGAATAAAGTTAAAAGAGAGAGGAAGGAGGATGGGGACAGTATTTCAGGTTAAACAACAACAACAACAACGCAGTAGTTTGACATTTTTTAGGAAATGTTCTTACTTACTCATCTACCATTAGCTAGTTAGCTCAGATAGAGGTCCTATAAGCTGACTCTGCCTGGACTGGGAGCTTAAACAAAGGCATTTCCCAAAATGTCAAACCTTTCCTTCAACAAGTAAATAGTACAAAAGTTACATTTTCACATGACAATATCAGTACCTTGAACAAGGTGATAACAGTACATTTAAATGTAGAACATAGGAATTACTGACACGCATTGTGATCTTTGGATATTGAGAGCAGTTTCCCAAATAAATGCAACCCCTCCCTCCCTCCATAATATGCATATGAAATGTAAAATACCATTTAAAGATAAAAGCATTGAGCCTGTATTGTGATCAAACTCTCTGTGTCTCTTTCTGGCTCTCTGTTCTAGCAAAACAGCAGGTGGTAGGGAGCTGTGTTCATTGTGCTACAGCCAAGGAGTGTGTTAGTGTGAGTGTAAGATAAGAATCCTGACAGAGACACACACAGACACACACAAGCACATAAGACAATACTGGGCACAATGTTTAACATGTAATTAAAATTCATCCAGAGACAGGGTAATTACTGCATTGTATTCTTGGACAAATGACAGTGCTCCTGTTGAGATAAATAGCTTCTGCTTTTAGGTGTCCATTTGTGTGTGTGTGTGTGTGTGTGTGTGTGTGTGCTCCTTCAGACTAAAGACCAGCTGAAATGAATGTAAGTCTATCTAATGTCCCCAAAAGTGACATAAGTAAACGTACGTGTGTGTGTGTGTGTGTGTGTGTGTGTGTGTGTGTGTGTGTGTGTGTGTGTGTGTGAATAATGGAGAGATCAGTATCTGTGTCTATCTCCGTAGGCACATCATCCTAAATCTAACTCAGTATTCATGCAAAGGG